AAGCTACACTACCTCCTTACTTCTCGAGATTCGGAGATTATTGAATTGACTGCCAAGTTCTTTTATGGTCTTATAAAACGGAAAAACGTCCCTGATCATTCTAATTGAGTTCAATGAGTTAGTATAATTTAATTCAAGGTTTTGCGGTTGTGAAGCAAGCTACACTACCTCCTTACTTCTCGAGATTCGGAGATTATTGAATTGACTGCCAAGTTCTTTTATGGTCTTATAAAACGGAAAAATGTCCCTGATCATTCTAATTGAGTTCAATGAGTTAGTATAATTTAATTCAAGGTTTTGCGGTTGGGAAATTTTTTATCTTGCTATAATTTTAAGCTCATACAAATAGACATACCTTTGTAATGTTTCTAGAAGTTATCTATTTTTCACAAATTTTATAGGATTGTTTTACCCTATGGCAACTGTTTAATATTTTATGCCAATAAAGGTATTGTTTGTTTGTTTGTTTGTTTGCTGACGTGGTTGTGAATGGAATCTTGGGTTTGTATCTATATCCTGCTTTCCTGCCTTTGCAATTCAGTCCTAACAAAGAGTTTGAACCCAAAGCATCTCATATCTATAAATAAAACATTCGCTGCAAAAGTGCGTGTGGAGAGTGATTTGACTGGGAACCTGACAGATTGTTAGGACTCCCTTTTCTCCTACCGGAATCCCCCTCTCCAGCGAGAATGGGGAATGGTGATGGAGACGGCGGGGCAGGCACTAGCACCGGGTCTGAACCCGAGAACCTTGTGCCTGACCCTCAGAAGAAGAAAGCCACCAAGAGCACTGGTGCATGCCCCAAGAAGCAAGTCTTCTTCCAGCCCCCCGATCACTGGGATGATCCGGCCTGGTTGGGGGGCACCTCGAGATTCTGGGGAGCCCGGGGACAGAGTCAACGGGAGTGACGCAGAGTCTCGCACACCTTCCAGGATGACCCAGAGCTGGGCAAGATGCAAGAGAAATGGGAGGAGGATCACTCCGCTGAGAAGGCTCATTCCAGTTTATGTTCCGACTTAAAGGAGCTGAAGGAGGGGTTCCAATACCTGGTGAAGAATCTGCCCAAGTTAGTAAAAGAACTGATGGAAAAGGAAGAGTCTGAATCCTCCAAAGAAGAGGAATGAGGGGGTGGAGACGAGGCTAAGCAAGCCCCGCGACCGGCCCCGCTACCCCGCAAGGTCGGTATGGAGTGTGAGAGCCCCCAGGATGCCCTGGAAGCAACCTTTGATGGGAGTCCCGCCAAGTTAGCGTTCTTCACAATACAAGTGTGAAAGATGCTGCGAGAGTGGGGCCATAACCTTGCATCGGATGAGCAAAGAGTAGATTTTGTGGGCTCTCGTCTGTGAGACAGAGCTGCAGACTGGTTCGTCAGTCTATACAATGGGCGGCACCCGAGTGTCGACACGTTCATGCATGCCCTACGTCATCAATTCAAGGACCCCCCGGAATTGGAGAAAGCCTGAACCCAGTTGCAAGGGATATGCCAAGGTACTCATTCAGTCCAAGAGTATTCAGATGAGCTCAAGGCTACCACCGCCGAACTGCTGGGGTGGCCAGAAGAGGTCCTGATCGAGTTCTACCAAGCCAGCCTGAGTACCATCATCTTGGAGAAGGTGTTAGCCCAAGATAACCCCCTCACCGTAGCAGGGTAGATCCAGGTGGCGTGTGAAGTGGAGAATCGCCACAACCTAGTGAAGTTCTGTCAGCACAAGACGCCGATCCATGGCGTCTACCCCTTGCCTATAATTAAAGACTTATTGGTGGCCATCAGAGGGGTGAGAGGCAGAGGAATGCCCATGGGCAGGGATTGAGAGCACTGCCTGAAGAGGGGCCTGTGCCTGTGGTGTGGCAAGCCAGGTCACTTTGCAGTCAATTGCAACTGGACCTGGCCCAAAGACCGCAAAAGGCGCGAGGAACGGCACAAAGATTATCAAGAGAAGAAAGGGAAGCTGCCTGGGAAGAGACCCAAGTCACCTAGAGTGCTGCAGGCTGTTGAATTCCCCTCGTTGGGGACAACCTCATCCAGCAACGGCGATGAGCCTCAGGTACCTGCTGTGAAGTGCGCCAGCCAGCAGGTCCGTGATGCTCCAGCGCAAGAATCGGTGAGAACCTGCACATCACTGTTTTTTTGTGATTGTTACCATTTTGCACCCCGGGGCCGGAACCCAAGTGTGGGTGAGGGCCCTTATTGACTTTGGGTGTTCTTGAGACTTAATAAGCCCAACCTTAGTTATGGGTCTGGGGGCTGGAGTGCTGAAGTTGAAAGAACCGGTGGTTTTTATCCAGATGGATGGTACTACTATGCAGTCGTCTCAGTACCAAACAATCAAGTTACCGGTGGGTGTGTCTAGACATTGGGAGCAGAGGTCATTTATAGTACACCCCACCGCCCAGTTCCCTATGGTATTGGGCAACCCTTGGCTTGCAGCTCACGACCCTTACATACAGTGGAGCCAGGGGACGCTGAGTTTCTTAGACCCCTCTGTAAAGAGCATCAATGGAATCTGGCGTGGGGGGAAGAGCCCTGTCCTGTGCCAGAAAGGGTCTGTCTGATGCGTGAGGAATTAAACACTACTCCGCCCGAATATAGAGATTTGGAACGTCGAAGAGAGGGAGGCAGATGAGTTACCCCCTCACTGAAAAACTGACTGTGCCATAGAAATCTTACCCGGGCATAAAATGCCGAAAGTAAAGTTGTATGCTATGCGCCCCACCGAAAGGGAGGAGCTGCGCCGCTTCATTGACAAAAACCTCGAGCATGGTTTTATGCGGCCAGCTACCTCCCCTTTTGTGGCTCCCGTGTTATTTCAGAAAAAGAAAACGGGGGGCTGAGGTTGTGTCCCATCTACCGGGGTCTGAACGCTGTTTCCATGTCCAACGCCTACCCCTTGCCTATAATTAAAGACTTATTGGCTGAGGCTGCCAAAGGAAAAATATTTACCATGTTGGATTTAAGGGATGTCTATTTTCGGGTGCGAATACAGGAGGGGGACAAACATAAGACTGCCTTTAATACCCCACTGGGACAGTTTGAGTATTTGGTTATGCCATTTGGATTGGCTGGAGCCCCGGTTGTGTTCATGAACCTAATCAACTAAGTGTTGCACAAACACCTGTTCAAAGGGGTGGTGGTGTATCTTGATGACCTGATTATTTTACATAGGGGCCAATATGGCAAGTTGCACCCCCTTGCTTATGTTTCTAAAAAAAATTCGGGGGTGGAGCGAAACTGGGCCGTGTGGGACAAGGAGGCTGCAGCAGTGAAACTGGTGCTAACTACATGGTGGCACTGGCTGGAGGGGGCGAGGGTACCGTTTGAAGTATGGACATACCATAAAAATTTAAAATCGCTAAGAGCACCCCGCTGCCTGAACGCCAAGCAGCTCTGATGGGCAGAATGTTTTTCTAAGTTTCAGTTCACCATAAAGTACCTCCCAGGGAAAGCCAACTTTCTTGCTGATGCCCTCTCGCTCCTCCCACAACACATCAGTCAGCATGATGAGGTCACAAACACTATGTTTTCTCCCGCCCAATTGGGAGGAGCTGTGCTAACACATAGCCAGGTGAAAGCGGGGAGGGAGACGGAACTGAGTAGTTGGGTGGAAAAGCTGAAATCAGCGCTCCCCCCCCCCCCCCGTGAAACGGAGGAGGTGGAAAAGGAGGGGCTATGGCAGTAGGACGATGGGAGTTGGTGCAAAGGTGACAAGACCTACGTACCAAAGCGCTGAGAGGAGAGATTTTCTCTCAAAGCCATGATAATAAAATGTTCAGGAGGTGGAAAAGGAGGGGCTATGGCAGTGGGATGATGGGAGTTGGTGCAAAGGTACCAATGTACCAAAGCGCTGAGAGGAGAGATTTTGTCTCAAAGCCATGATAATAAAATGTTGGGACACTTTGGGTACCTGAAAACCTTGCATCTTGTTCAGAGACAGTTTTGGTGGCCTGGCATGAGAAAAGACATTTCTAGATATGTAACTACCTGCCAAACCCGTTTGATGAGTAAACGGGGGGGGTGGGTGTCTGGCCAGCTGCAGCCATTGGAAACCCCCGAAAGACCCTGGGCTGCGATATCTATGGATTTTACCTCTGATCCAGAGGAAAACAGTTATATGGGTAGTGGTGGATCTGTTCTCAAAGCAAGCCCACGTCATTCCATGCAAACAGATATCCACTGCCAAGTAACTTGCTATGTTTTTACAACATGTGATAAGATTGCATACTTTGCCAAAGAAGGTCGTATCCGACCATGGGGCTCAGTTTGTTGCCAAGCTTTGGAAGGAACTGATGGCGCTGTTGGGGGTGGAGCATGGACTTAGCAGTAGTTGCCACCCCGAGACAGATGGCCACCACCCCAAGACAGATGGCCAAACGGAATGCACCAACCAAGTTTTGGAGCAGTTTTTAAGGTGTTATGCGAATCACCAACAAGACAACTGGGTACAACTTTTACCAAGCACATTAAGGGACTACAACCCAGACGAAAACTGGGGTGGAACTACATAAGACCTTTTAAAGTTACTCGGGCTATTAATAAGGTAGCTGTTGAAGTTGAACTACCTAAATCGCTCCGTTCTTTGCACCCTGTGTTTCATTTCAGCCTCCTGAAAAGGGATCCTGGACCTTCGCCCTGGACTCCTCGTCCACCGGCTCCACCACCTCTTCTGATCAATGGGCAACTCCACCAAATGGTGGAGACCATCCTTGAATCCAGGCTTAAAAGAGGCCGGCTTTACTACCTGGTCAAGTGGAAGGACTTTGGGCCAGAGGAGAATGAATGGGTTCTGTCCAAGCATATTAGAGCAGCCCGTCTGATCAAAGAGTTCCATCGAAGGCATCCCCACAAGACAGGGGGTTGATAGCTGGGGGGGAGGCAGTATGTCAGACTCGGGCATTTGACTAGCTGAACCTGCTGTATTTCAACCTGATATATTCTGCTTGCTCTCTGTACCCCTTATGCTGCCCTCGCCTGCCCTCGTATTCCTGGGCGTGGGGAGTGTCTGTAGTAAATTAGGGAGGCTTGCTGGTAACTTTCTTATGGGGCCTCAAGACATCTTTCACACAAGAAATGTCCTTGAAGTAAAGTCGGTGTCTGGCTAGATAATAACTTTATATCTTTCATAGTCATTGTAGCAATGCTGACGTGGTTGTGAATGGAACCTTGGGGTTGTACCTATATCCTGCTTTCCCGCGTTTGCAATTCAGTCCTAACAAAGAGTTTGAACCCAAAGCATCTCATATCTCTAAATAAAACATTTGCTGCAAAAGTGCGTGTGGAGAGTGATTTGACTGTTAACCTGACACAATCAAGCTGTATACCAATAGTCCCCAATATGGTGTTTGTGTGTTCCCCGGTGCCCATCAGTATGTTTCCTTGCACCTGCTTGTTTCTTCCCCACAGCATCTTTTCCCCAAACCGAAGAACTAATCCTGGCTTTCTTCACCTCACTGGAGCAGTGGGTGCTTCAGAAAAGCTTGTAGGCGTCAACTTTTGTGTCTGCAGGATGGACCTATTCAGAAACAGCTGCCTCCATCATAGGAGGATGCTTAGCCTCAGACCTCCCAACTTTGTGTGATTGGTCCCACCTCCCAAAGCAGCTGTTTTGCGGTGGCACCCCCTACTGGGTTGTGGGGTTGTTTTTTTGAAATGTAAAAAGTGCCCACAGTTTCATCGCTGTGAGGAATCCATGTTCTACCCTCTCGTTGATGTGGGAGGATTGAGGGGTGTACAAGAGCACAGCAAACAACTGGCGCTTATGCATGATGCTGAGAAACCTCTGTGTAATGAGAGTTTGTTGTGACATTAGAATGCACCCTTGGGTAGCCGTATTGGACCACGCCCAGCCAGTCATGCTTTGCAGGCTTATTTTCAAAAGTGTCAGTGGGATAAAATACTTTGATAAAGACTCGTTCGAAGTTTCCTCCAGCCATACAAGAGTCTCATGTGGATGCTCAAATCTCTAAAAAAAGCCAGCTGCTGATCTGAACCGGGGTGGGGTGGGCATGTACAGTAAATCAAGGCTCTTTTTGTAGCAGGAACTCCTTTGCATATTAGGCGACACACCCCCCCCATGTAGCCAATCCTCCAAGAGCTTACAGAGCTTTTCTTACAGGGGCTACTGTAAGCTCTTGGAGGATTGGCTACATTAGGGGCGTGTCACCTAATATGCAAAGGAGTTCCTGCTACAAAAAGAGCCCTGAGTAATATCCTTATTAAGCCCTAACATTTTGTCGTTCTCTTTTTACCAGTATGCAGTGGGATCGGAATGGGTAAACTCAAAGACGCCCTTGCTGTCAACGCGTCCAATATCAACAATTTCATAAACTGCACCGTAATCAACGGCTACCTCTCATTTCTGAAAGTGACATTTTCAGGGTAAGCCATTGCTAAGTGCCTCTCATGGGGGAGAGACCAGTTCGAGGCAGCTCTTCCGTTCCACCAGAATCACCAATTCCGTTGTTGTTTTTCTAGTGACGGCTATACCGGAACCCCTCCTGTGGATCCAAAGCAGTTGGACATCTTTAAAACTGTTAGAGAAATCACAGGTTAGTAATAGCAAATAGCTTTAAAAACCTTACTGAGAAACAAGGTTTTCAGATTAGAAAAGAACGGAGGTTGTGGGAGGCTGGTTTCTACCAGCTCTGTGGTTGGAAGTAAGGATGCCGCCCTCCAGGGGGATCCGCCAGAATTACAGCCCATCTTCAGAATTTGGTTGCTGTTTCTGTTGCTATCTGGCTCAGAAAAATGTCTTTGGGACTTACGGGTGTTCAAGGGTAGGGTTTTTTTTTAATGAATTCTGTTCCAACATTATTTGAAGATCTGATTTCAGCAGTTCACAGGACAAGCTCAAAAGTTTTAACAACCCCCTATTGCCTTTCGCGCTCCCGCCTATCAGTTTCTGAAAAACGGGAAACCTCTAGTTGCCTCAGGGTGAACAATAAAACCTGGTGAGAAAAACCAGAAACCTCGTTTAACATGTGAAGTTCTTAAAAAGCTGGTTTTTGCAAGGTCAGCATAATCTAGCAGCTTAATTCTAACAAAAAAAAAATGTTCGCATTGTAGAGTCAAAGAGTGCCCAAGGCCGGAGGCATCTTCTAGAGTGCTTTGCTTTGATCTGGAATGCTTAGATCTTAGGGGAATTAATTGCTTGTCAATATTGGTCTGGTTCATGAGCTCACCAGACTGACATCCCAGTTTGGAGCACCAGCAGGTTTTACACGCATAAAGACCCTTGGGAAATATGCAGAGATCTGTGTGTATGATGGCTTTTCACAGTGTGCGCCTGCACAGAAGCACGAAGGGGCTGGTGATTCTCATTTATTCTCAGAATTTACCAACCCTGCGATGTAGGCTTAGCTAGATTTCTGTCAGTAGCTGCCATGCTTTCTTTGTTTTCTTTTGTCCCTGACTTTTGCACAGCCGCACATGCTTGCTTTGCTTAGCTACCGTGGGCAACATAAGGGAGGCGCTCTTTCCCCCGTGCGAACTGGTTCAGCCAGACAGCGTTATCAGTATAACCTTGAAGGGAAGGGAGGGCTTGGATTCCACTACGGGTGTGAATATTTCTGCTCTCAAGGGATTGCGGTGAGTCTTCCATTCATGATGTAATATCCTGCCAGGAGAATTCCCGCGCGCACACTTGGATTCCATTTGCTTAGCTAGATGCAGCATCAGAGTATATGTATGGAGCCCCCTGCACTAATCGTTATTCCTGACAATGTACCTGTACCACTTGGCAACAGACTAGTATTCCAATAAAACATAGCCTTTTCAGGAGAGTGTGTTTGGACCTGCTTGCTGTTGACCCTGACAGAATTGTCAAGACCCACACAGACTGTTTCCTAGTTGACGTTTTGGAGCTGCATGGCCACCCAGTCAGTCTCTCTCCCGCTGCCCCAAACTTGCCCCCATTTCATGATGTTGAGCTTGTGCACATGCACCGTGTCATCCATGGCAAATTAGAGCAGGACTCTGAACCCTGACTGTTCCCTGGAAGGCCAGATGATAATAAAACTGAAGCTCAAATACTTTGGCCACCCAATGAGAAGGGAGCACTCACTGGAGAAGACCCTGATGCTGGGAAAGATTGAAGGTCAAAGAAGACGGGGACGGCAAAGGATGAGATGGTTAGACAGTGTCATAGATGCAACGAACATGAAGTTGAGCCAACTTCAGAGGACGGCGGAAGACCGGAAGGCCTGGCGGGATCTGGTCCATGGGGTCGCAAAGAGTCGGACTCGACTGTGCGACTAAACAACAACAACTGAAGCCAAAGGTTTGGGACTGTTAGGAGACTGTTAAGAGTTAGGGGAAGGGCTGTGGCTCAGTGGTAGAGCATCTGCTTGACATGCAGAAGGTCCCCAGTTCAATCCCCAGCATTTCCAGTTAAAACGACCAGGTAGTAGGTTATGTGAAAGACCTCCACCTGAGACCCTGGAGAGCCACTGCCAGTCTCAGTAGACAATACTGTCCTAGATGGACTGATGGTCTGATTTAGTATAAGGCCGCTCCATACATGTTCAGCATTTCCCTTACAAAAGCGATCTTTCCTGTTCACAGCAGGGAGGAAGTAACAAATGTGTTGTTGGATGCTGTGTTTGAGTGCAGGAATTCCCTGACCCTAGTCTTTTTCAGAGGAAGACCAGGTGGTACAGCCTAATTAACTCATCTTTTTTTTTTCTGGCAAGGAGGAATGCGTCCCAATTTGGGAACAGAACAAACAAATAAACAAACAGGTAGCAAGGGACAGTTCAAAAATGAGTAGTTGTTTGAGAGCTGTTCCCGGAATATTATGCCTGTACACCAGTCTTCCCCACCCTAACAGAGCATAATTCTTAGGAATAATTGTGATTCTGGAACCCTGCTCTGCTTTATCCTCTCATTTCCCGCCCCCTTGGTTTTGTAAAGGGCTTCAATAGTAAGGGAAGTAGGCTGGCTTTTCTGCCTTGCTGAAAGACACGAGTTTCCAGCTGGGAAATGAAGAAGCAAAAAAAAATCTGCACTGTCCCAAGCTGCTGAGGTCTGAAAGACACCAACCTTTGCAGTGTTTAGCCATCTGTAAACTGTTTACAAGGCCGTGTTAAAATAACTCCATAAGCCCTGAAATGTCAATGTTGGTTTTGAAGTTCTCATTAAAAGAGGAGAACAGAAAAGGTTTTTTGCTTGCTTTTTTTAAAAAAAAAATCCCCTTGTTAATGCTATTTTTATATATAAAGGGTTTTTTCCCCTCATTTTAGGATTTTTGTTGATCCAGGAATGGCCTAAAAATGCCACTGACTTGAACGTGTTTGAAAATCTGGAGGTTATACGAGGCAGAACAAAACAACAGTGAGTAAAGCCTACATACCAGGAAACCCTCTGTGTGTATACAGCTGGGTTTGTTTGGGAGGACTCGAGCCCTGGTCTTCAGTTGTTGGTTCATGACCAGCGATTAGGTCACAGCCCAACATTATCTGCCACTCTCTTCTCCTTTGGGGCGGGGTCTATTTCATTAACTCCCATTGACATTGCTGATCCAGTTAATACCTGCTTATCTGTATCAGCATCCGGCACCTTAGGCCGTTCACTGGGCTCCTGGTTTTTGTTTGTTTCTTCTTGAGCTGAGGAGAAAGACAAAGGGAGGGAGGGAAAGAAAGAGGCTTCTTGCGAAAGTGAGGCATAAACATAAACTTGTTGGGCTTACCTGTGACCAAGAGTGGCGTCTGAATAATTAAATGATGGTTAAGAATCGGAGCAGGATGTAAAACTGCGGCTTGAACCGAGGTATAAACATTAAACATAACTGCACTTAGCCACGCTCAGCAAGCCCTGGTTAAGGCAGTCTCTCCAACTTTCCCATCTGCTTGCCAGGTCACATGTGTAGGTGTTGTTGGCGTTTCCCTGTATACAGCCCTGCACGACGTGTAGCTGAGCATAGCCTTTTGCAAACATGCATGGTGTCTTGCCAATTATTTGATAGCCCCGTGTGCTATTGATGTCCCAGGAGACAATGATGGCTGGCTGTGGCTCCGTGGTAGAGCATGTGTTCGGCATGCAAAAGGCCCAGGGCTCAATCCCCAGCATCTCCAAAGTAGATAGGACCGGGTAGTAAGCGATGTGAAAGTTCTCTGACCTGGGAAGCCACTGTGGGTCTTGAGTGGACAGCGCTGACTTTGTCGGACTGAGGGTCTGATTTCATGTAAGGAAGCTTTATCTGTTCATGGTGACACACACCCCAAGCTCCACCAGCTTCCCCTTGCCCTATTGCCTCTGGGGATCAATGTCTCGTGTAAATAAGACAATGCCTATTTATTCAGAAGGTTTCATAGGAGGATTTTTGTGTCTGTGAATAAGACACCTGAAATACACAGTCTTGAACAGCCTTGAACAGAATCCTCACCATGTAAAAGGAGGGATATACAACTGTGTACAAACCATGCCCTGTAACACATCTCCTTTTCCATATGCTGTCCTTGTTACCTTTTTTGGTTCTGCTCGCTTTAATGGCTGGTGTTCCCGGCTAATTTGCTTCTATTACGTCGTTTGTGCACAGCTGACACAAAAAAATGACGTCGGGGGAAAGTGTGGCGTGAGCAAAACTCCATGAAAACAAAGACTCGCAGGTTTGAGCCGCACAGAAGAGAAATGAACAGAAAATTGGAGGATTTTTTATTTTAATTTTCAAAATTTTATTATAATATTATTAAAGTACATATATAAACAACAGTGGCATAACTAAATGAAAACATAAAGGCATTAAGTTACAATAAAATGCCTAGTACAGCGAGTTAACTATCAACAGATAAACATAAAGGGACACGGAGCTGCGGCATCTGTACGAGAAGAATCATACTGTGCACTGTAGTGTCTTATCGGTAAGTCGGACTAATAACTGCCCTCAGAATAGTGCCTGTACAATGAAAACAGAAAGTAAACATTGAAATTAAAGGTAGGAAGGGAATATCGTCAATTTGTAGAGGTCTCAATAGCCAGCAATTTCAGAGGGTGCTTTAAAAGTGAAGCCACGCATGGCAAGTAGTAATAGATGGTACAAGATCCTGATTTGAAGATCAGATCTTGTCACCAGGGGTGAGAAATTCAATAGCATCTCTGTCTGAACGCCAGATGTGAGCGTGTCCATTCTCCTAATCCACCACTGCCTTTAAATGGTTGCTTTTTTCAACGCCAAAGAAGGGTTTCACTTTGGGAGAATGGTCCAGATGGTTACTAATTAGAACAAATTGCATCATGGTTCTTGTGGCCACCTTCCTGGCCCTTTCTCCCGTCCTTCAAGCAAGGACTCCTTGTCTCTTCCTGTTCCTCAGATAGCCGCATACACTCTCACACAGAAGAAAGGCTGAGCCCGTTGGCAGTGGTTGGTCGGCATCCTCCCTGCTTGCTTACCTGCCCTTTTTTTGTTCCATTTTAGTAGCCGATTTGCAATTGCCATCACTGGTTTGAGCATAAAATCTCTGGGATTGCGTGCTCTCAAGGAAGTAAGCGACGGAGACGTTGTGATTTTGAAAAACAAGGACCTCTGCTATGCTAACACCGTGAACTGGACCGCGCTTTTCAAAACAAACAATCAAAAAACAAGTCTCTCCTATAATGGAAATGAAACGTGGTGTGGTGAGTAAAGTCAGAGTTTCAGTCGGGAATAAGCTGTGCATTTCAGAAAACATATTTTCTATTATTGTGTGCAGTAGTGACAAACTCGTTTTCAGTCACGTTTTCTCTGCAGTAATTTTACCCTTTATGTACGCATCAGCGTACACAGATTACTCCTCCATGACATTATTTTACCTCTCTGTAATCCTGCACAAGGGCATCATGGCTGGCTCAAGCGGTTAAGACGCTGAACTGCAGGCTGTGGAAAGTCAGTAGTTCAGCAGTTCGAGACCCAAGTGTGCCGCAAGACGGAGTGAGCTCCCGTCTCTAGTTCTAGCTCCTGCCAACCTAGCAGTTCGAAAGCAAGAAATTGCAAGTAGATAAATAGGTACCACTTTGGTGGGAAGATAACAGCGTTCCGTGCGCCTTGGTGTTTGGTCATGCCGGCCACATGACCACAGAAACGTCTTCAGACAGCGCTGGCTCTTCGGCTTTGAAACGGAGATGAGCACCGCAACCCTAGAGTCGGACTCGACTGGCTTTCGAGCAAGGGAAACCTTTACCTTTTAATCCTGCACAAAATATTAAAACGGTGGCCTCTTTTTTTTTAATAGAGTTTTATTAGTTTATATATAGAAAGGGGGAAAGGGAAAAGAAGGGAAAAGAAAGAGTACAGAGTTATATATAAAAATCCAAATTAACATTCTGCATGCAAATTTTCTCCTGAAAGATAACCATCTTTCTTATTGTTCTTAATTTAGTCTTAGTTTCTTAGTACTTATGTTTTAGCCAGTCATAAAACGCCCTCCATGGTCCCATAAATTCTTCTTCCATTTTTCCTTTTAGTATATTTGTCAATCTGTCCATTTCAGCCTCTGACCCACACAGCCATGCACACATACGTTAAACTTCTCTGCTGCCACTTTTTTCTAAGAAGGCCTTTCTCCCACCCCTGTAACAAAGAAGCCTTCGTCTCCTGCTGCTCCTGAGATAGCCACGCCCCCTCTCGCAGAGAAGGAAGGTTGAGCCAGAAGGCGGGGGGGGGAGTGTTCCAAAAGGCCCTCGATGTTGGCCAATGTCCAGTCTTCCAGATGGCCCTCCAATGGGTGTGTGTTTTCTGGACAGCGGCAGAAGTAACACGTGTTGATGCGTGTGCCTGTGGCAGAGGAAGGAGCCCATTCATCTCTGTGGCTCTCAAGCCGCTGGCGAGCAAGAAGTGTCGTTTGTAGGGCCGAATGGAAAGCCGCCTGGTCACAGGGACCTCCGCAGACTGGGCACGGAAAAATCCTCGTGGCAGACTTTATAGGAGGACTTGGAATTGTGTGAGACTGTGAAGAACAGAAAGGGTTTTGGTGTGTTGATAAAATGGGTGCGAAAGGGTGTGTGCTGTTGATACTTAGCCAGGTGTGTTTTAGATATAGTGATGGAAGAGGAAAGCTTGTTTTATTTAATTGGCCAACGGTGTACATCTGAGTCATGATTCTTCTCTCTAGTTACTTTCCAGTTCTGTCTTTTGACACGTCCTAAAGTATGGTGCAGTATCGCTTGGACGGTACTGTGTCAGAAAATTCCTAAAAGACCTTCTTATCATTTGATTTTTTTTAAAAAAATGTGGTATAGATACTGACATTGGGGCTTTTGTCTCTCTCTCTCTCTCTCTCTCTCAGCTGCTACAAGGCAGGTTTGTCATCCCCTCTGCTCGGATAACGGCTGTTGGGGCCCGGGGCCTTTCCAGTGCTTCTCTTGTCGTTACTTTTCTCGCAAGCAGTGTGTGCAAGAGTGCAGTATTCATCAAGGGTAAGAATTATCTCCACTCTATGCAAGAATCGCAAAAATGCTGGGGGGGGGGGCATACCGCAGCTTGCACCCATACAACCGCGGTCCTGTCCTATGCAGGTGACTCTTTCGTTTTGCCCAGTAGTTTGCAACACAATATCCCTGTGGCAACTTAAAACACATTTATTGTGCTTACAAGCATTTGCAGGCTTGAGCCCCCCACCCTTCATCCCATGCAGTGAAGTGAAACGTCCGTCAGCAAGATTTTTATACGGAGAGAGAACAAAGGAAAAAAAGTGGGAGCTTTGGGTTACATGGTCTGGTTTGAGGCGTTTTCTGTGCAAAAGCGAAACGTGTGCATGTGAGCACAGTGGCGGTTCACGGTAATCACAAAATGCACATTCACCAACAGCAGTTCTGCGGAAGTTTTATTAATCTCTAGAATATAATAAGGTGAACGATCATGGGGGGGGGATTCTGTTGAAATATTTAGTTAAATCTTGTAGAAGGTCTCTTCTTGATGACTTAATTAGGGCTCTTTTTGTAGAAAAAGCCCAGCAGGAACTCATTAGCATAATAGGCCACACCCAACAGCAGGAACTCATTAGCATATTGGGCCACACCCCTGACAGCACAGCTTATTAGCACATTAGGCTGCACCCACATGTTACCAGAAGTGTGGTTATCCAGCCACACCCACCTTTTGCTTCTTATTCTGTTTACCTTGTTTGTTGTCAAAACCCAGGGCCTTTTTTTGTAGCAGGAACTCATTTGCATGTTAGGCCACACACCCCTAATGTAGCCAATCCTAATGAGTTTCTGCTGTTGGGTGTGGCCTATTATGCTAATGAGTTCCTGCTGGGCCTGGCCAACTTGGGAGCCAGCCGGAACTCCGTTCCTGTGCGTTCCTGCCCAAAAATAGCCCTGCTCTTAATTGTAGCCTGATATTCAGGCCCTATGTTTTTAATTATATCATTGTGTACACTGTAGAATAAATATATTTCTTTTGATACAGATTTTATTTGCTGCAGCTCGGCCCTTGAAGCATTCTTGGTACATTTCGGGTTGAGCTAGCCTCCCACTTCTCCTTTGTTTGTTCTCTTCAGTTAAGTCAGAAGTGCTTCCAAAGTAGTGAAACTCACAGGGTTGGATCCCGTCAGTTTCTCTGCTCAGTCTCACCTGGTTCCCCTCCGTCCCACAAGGTTTTTGTCTCGTGATCCCAGGAACAGTTTTTTGTGTTGATCAAGCTGGGCCACCCCTCCCCCTTCTGTCAGCCAAAGAAGCTGAGAGGAGTCTTTCATTTTGACGATGTTACTGAGATCAAGATTTCATGCTGATTATTGCCTTTCTGTGTTAAAAAACAAAACCCACTAGATGTTAAAATAGTTGGAATCCAAAGAGCCATTTCAAGTACACCTAACAATTCAGGCATGCCCATTCACATTTTTTAAAAAATATTGTAATGTATCCAGTTCTGACCACGTGGCAGACTGGGGCTCCACGCGGTCAAGCGAAATCCTCGCGCTTCGCTCCAGGAAACAATGGACTAAGTGGATCCTAGCCCGCACCTATCCGAGGGCTAGGTTCCCGGCCGAGAGCCTATGGAACTCTCGGCCACTGTAAATAGCCTATTGCGGTGTGGGGGGGGGTTTGGGGTGGTGGTTTCACTGGGAATATAAGCCAGCCTGTAAGCCAGCTAAAGTTGTCTTGTTCCTGCTTAATGAACCTTATGAGCTGAATCACTTGAGATGTCTGAGGACTTTTCAAATATCAAACTTCTTTTGAAAACCATCTTCAAAATATGTCTGTAATGCTGTATGTTATTTGAGAAATGGAGACACAAAGCCCCCCCCCCCCATGTGTGGGAATACATATGTGTGGATCTTTGGGATCCATCCAAAGCAATCATCATAACCCTGAGATAAAAAGAATCGGTCTCAATAAGGCCTTAACCTGGATAGACCCAGCCAATGTTCCCTCTAAGCGGTGGAGTCTTGTGAGCAAAAATTCTACCTTGTGAGCTACTGGCATTAAAGTTGTGAGCGAGCGATTTGGCTACTGCATCAATTAGTTTGCTCTGGAGCCACCCTTCCCGAGCTAAGACAAAAACGTGTGAGCCGGAGGCTAAAAAAACTGTGAGCTAGCTCACACTGACTCAGCTTAGAGGGAACACTGCACCCAGCTAGCCCGATCTCGTCAGTTCTTGGAAGCTAAGCAGCCCTAGTGAGTATGGGGATGGGGGGGGGCGGCATCAGGGACAAGTGCCGGGTTGCTACGCAGAGGCAGGCAATGGCAAACCACCTCTGAAGTCTCTTGTATGTGGTTGACTTTCTGCATGTGCTTTTCTTAGATTCAGGTGGGTAGCCATGTTGGTCACTCTGAAGCAACAGGACAAATGTCTGAGTCCAGGGGCACCTTCATGACCAACAAACTGTGTTTTCCTTTACTTTCCCTTCTGCACCTTGCCTGTCTGCAGATGTTGTCTTTTTAAAAAAAAAGTAAACTTCCTCCTGGTGACGCTTTGACCTACATGGCATATTGGGTGTCCTCTCACATTATATTGTGAGCATGTAAAGTTTAATTAGTGGTACAATTTCCTGACATGTAGCAGCTAAGCCATCTGTTTTCGGTTTTCCCGCTTCCATGATTCACAGCTTTAGAGAAGGCCTGAACCTAGTTATCAGGTCATTTCTGTTTAACTTCTATGATGCAGTAATTTGTTTTTTGAAAAAGAGGCTGTTCCACAGCCCCTCCCTCAGAGATGTGAGGGGAAAGGGGGATGGGGTTTGTTGCAGGTGAAGGAAGGGAAAGCCAGCTAGCTTGACGCTGCCTTCTTTGCATACGGCATGTGGGGGGGGGAGGCTATATAAAGGCTGGCATCCACCCCACCCCACCCTCTCTTTTGACCATCAGGGAGGGAAACGGGATGACCCGGAGTAGCAGAGCAAGGCCTGTGTGGAGGAATAAGTATGGTGGGGGGAGGAATCACTGAGGGCTAAAGTGTTTTTAGCTCGTTCCAGGGGAGCCTGCCCAATCTGTCTTTCCCCTTCCCCTGTCTGTCCCCCTTCTTTTCCACTTACTATGCCGCTGCCCCCCTTTTTGTTTCACCAGTTTGGTGTAGTGGTTCAGTGCGCAGACTCTGATCTGGGAGGACTGGGTTTGATTCCCCACTCCTCCACTTGCACCTGCTGATGTGACCTGGGGTCAGTCACAAGCTCTGGCACAGCTGTTCTTGGAAAAGAGCAGTTTCTGTCAAGAGCTCTCTCGGCCCCACCTACCTCACAGGGTGTTTGTTGTGGGGAGGGGAAGGGAAAGGAGTTTGTAAGCCGCTCTGAGACTCCTTTGGGTAGTGAAGGGCGGGGGATAAATCCAATCTCTTCTTCTTCAGTGCCCCAACCCCAGCCCCAGCCATAAGCTCCCTTGTGCTTTTTCTTGTGGCTGGGCGCTTCTCATCCCCCTCTCAGGGCAGTCGCACACCAGTTTCTCCTCACACTCTGGTGCAAGCTCTCGTGGGGCCGATTTAACTTATATAATGTAGTCTTAAAAAAAAAAAGATTTTTTAAAAAGATTTTTATTGTTTTTAGACAAAAGTTTAACAGTAAAATCGAGAACAGTGTAAAATTATGCTTAAATACACACAACATATGTAAATTTTGCATATTTTCAAGTAATTATGTTCAGAACTGCTTCTTTTTAGAGCTTTGGACAACTTACATTGTAACAAACCTCAAAACTTGTTGTTGTCCGGTATCTAATATATATAAAATAAAATAATCAGGAATTAAGGATAATGTTACCATATTTGTGTACAGAAGATATGTATTCATGAGCCTTCGGTTCAATAGGGGGGAAAAAACCTTGTTAAATCCACTTATAGAATTGGGACCATTCAGAGGAGATAAAAAGATTGACGTGGTTGTTGGTTCAAGCACTTATACCCCAGTGCAAGTTCACATGTGGCCCTGGTGCGCAAGCTGGGATTGTATATATGGGTAGAATGTAGGAATGCTCCTCAGTCTCCACCCCACAGTCTTTTGGCCTCGAGGATCTCATGGCATACTTCAGCATGGTTTGGGCTTCCTGCCGGATCCTAAATTTGACAATAATATACTACTTTGGCATTTGCACTTTCCCGGCTCTCTAAAGGTGATGGAGTTTCTCTCTCTGGTGTCCTGGGATTGTCGATATGACAAGTTCCACAGGGGAGGCTGAGTTACAGTAGAAGAAGAAGGAGGAGGAGGAGGAGGAGGAGGAGGAGGAGGAGGAGGAGATTGGATTCATACCCCGCCCTTCACTTGGAGTCTCAGAGCGGCTTACAAACTCCTTTCCCTTCCCCTCCCCACAACAGACACCCTGTGAGGTGGGTGGGGCTGAGAGAGCTCTGGCACAAACTGCTCTTTTTCAAGGACAGCTGTGCCAGAGCTTGCGACAGACCCAAGGTCACATCAGCAGGTGCAAGTGGAGGAGTGGGGACTCAAACCCGGTTCTCCCAGATTAGAGTCCGCACACTTAACCACTACACCAAACTGGCTACACCAAACAGTGAGGTCCGAAGCAGAATTACATCCTTCTTTTGGAGTCCGTGGTCTTATTGTGGCCCTGTAAATCTGCCACAGCCAAAATATCAAAGAGACTCATGGCTCCTTGAGGCGTCTGGTGCATCTGATGAATTTATTCACTTCATTTGCGGTCCACATTTCCCACTGGGCTCTGGATCATGAAGGTTTATGCTGCAGTGTTAGTCTTTCAGGTGTCACGTGACTCTTTCATACGTCAGTGTGACAAGAGCATTGTTGGGGTAATGGAATGTCCTATATGTTTTTAGAGATAAAAAAACATCCCACTATCCTCTTCCAGTGACTCTTTTTGTAGTTTCAGTTTCCAGTGACTCTTTTTGTCGTGTCAGGTGGGTAGCCATGTTGGTGTGAAGAACAGAACAAAGTTTGAGTTCAGGGGCACCTTTAAGACCAACAGAGTTTCATTCTGGGTATAAGCTTTCGTGTGCTGCATGCGTGCATGCACACGAAAGTTTATACCCAGAATTAAACTCTGTTGGTCTTAAAGGTGCCCCTGGACCCAAACTTTGTTCTTTTTTTAGCACTACAGTATAGCTCTGCTATGCCCTTTTTTGTTGCGCAATATGTTATGATCGGGTAACATGATGCATTAGTCAGTTGTCGTGTAAGATTTCACTTTCCTTCCCATTTCAGGGAGCCGCGGGAGTTCAGGAACCATTCGGAGTGTGTTCTGTGCCATCCGGAATGCCTAGTGGAAAATTCAACTGAGCCAACTTGCACAGGACCAGTAAGTCTTACATACAACCGTGTGTTAAAATAAAGAATTGTGTCCAACCGGGCATCCATATTTATTCATGTGTGTACAAGATAACAAATGGGGAAGGAGGGGGGTTGGTTACAGGTGAATCTACTGCAGAGTTCTAAAACTAAAAGGGGTTGCCGTGTGAGCAGGGGTCACAAGCCATAGTAGCCTTTAATTTCCTCAAATTAAATCATTTGGAGTGACCAAATATTCACTTGACCATCAAAATCCCTGGGTGACCTGGGGCCTGTGAATATCTTGACCAAACTTACCTCACAGGGACCAGTAGCAGCATTTAGGGGGATTTGGGAAGTTGCAGCAGGAAAAGGGGGAGACCAGGACTGTGTGGATGGGAATCCCTTCTGTCCACGGAACTCTCCAGTGAATCTAACCCTGATGCTAGCTTGATGGTTGAGTCTGGATGATTCAGTTCAAGTGGACTTCTAAGCTGCACAGGATTGTGTTCCTGGGGGGAACTGGACCAGTGGTGGACTATGGTGGTCCAGACTCTGATGCAGTTATAGTTAGCAGCAGTAACCTGACCACTCTCTCCCAATTCAGCAACGCAAGGAACTTGTTTGCTTTTTAAGTCTTTAAAGCAGAATATAGGAAAATAAATAAATAATGTGAACTCTGGGAATACCTGCTGCACGTATGTCTGAAATTAACAGGATAATAGTGTAATAATCCATATGAAAATAGTGCAAAAATGTATGAAATGGTCAAATGCACTTTCAAGGGAAACAAAAACACACAAAGAAAAGAACACACACAGCAATTGTGTTGCCTGTGGAAAAAACTGGCATGTATCCAACTGTGCAGTTCAATTGACTTCAGACTGGTAGTAGCTTTCCAGGGTGACAAGCAGAGGTCTTTCGAATCACCTACTATCAGTTCCTTTAACTGAAGTGCCGGGGGTTGAACCTGAGACCTTCTGCTTGGCAAGCAGATGCTCTGTCACTGGGCTGCAGCCTCTCTCGTCGAGGGATTATCAGCTGACAAGTCTGTGTATGAGACTCTTAAGAAGAATGAATTACGTATTTGATTTTGTACTTTTGTAAATCAAACATAACTTTTAAAAATGTAACTAGATAAATATTTGCATACTTTCTCTATGCTTTTAGCTTACATTTACAAAAGACCTCTTCGATTGGTTTTGTCACTGATGTAGATTAATGCCTTGCTTCTTATACAGGGTCCCAACAACTGCACAAAGTGTGCTCACTTTATGGATGGACCTAATTGCGTTAGAACTTGCCCTAATGGTATTTTGGGTGAAAATGATGTCTTAATCTGGAAATATGCCGATAAGAATTCAGTGTGCCAGCTGTGTCATCAAAACTGTACCCGTGGGTGAGTAGAAGCACTTTATTTTAAAACGGAGTGAGATGATGGATTTAATCTGTGGGATTTTAAAACCGATCGAGATAATGGCTTCAATTTGTGGATTTCACAAAAATAGCAAAATATAACTAGCTCGTGAACTCAAAACAAAGTACTGTCAAAACAGAAAGACCTGCACTGATTACCCATCTGCTCCTGGGCACAATTCAAAGAGCTGGTGGTTACCTTTAAGGCCCTAATCAACTGGGGGCCATGATATCTGAAGGAACATCATCTCCCATACTGTGTCCTGCCAGTTAAGATCTGCTTCTCAAGTCCAGCTCTCTGTGTCTCCTGCCTTCAGGGGTGGGCAGTGACTAGAGACGGCATTTCCATCGTAAGCCGCCTTGAGCAGCAATCAGAAATATCCTGAATAAATAAATAATAAACACAGGTACAACCCAACCTATTACAAAGAGCTGCAACATTAAAAGCATTGTAATGTCTGTTATGTCTGTTCAAGAATGCCTCCAGGTCAAATTCCAAAATCTGTTTATTAAGGTCTCAGCCAAATAGCAGTTGAAACTCATGCCTACCGCCGCATTCGCTCTCACTTCCTACATCTGACTTATATACCCCTCTCCCTATAATACACACCTACACTACAGTGTCCCTTGGTGGAACGGGATTTAAAAGAGAATAGTCAAGGTTGGAACTTTGAATTCATTGTGCGCGATACCTAGAGGGTTAAGACGTCGTGTTGAGTGATCTCTTGCGCCCTTCATCAGAGACACCCACAAACATACTTGGAAACTGGTAGATGAGAGTTGTTGTTTTGGTTGGGTTGTTCTAATTTGCATCCAGTATTCTGCATTTGGTTAGAGCCAGGATTCTTCTGAATGCTAAGAGCAACATCAGAGCAGGAATCCATCTTTTTCCAACAGTGGCCATACAGATGCCTCTGGGAGCTTCCTGGAATGAAGGAGATATCCATCCCTTGTTTGTCCTCAAAGGAATAACCCTCTGCAGTGCAATCCTCTGCAGAGACCCTTCTAAATTTGTTGATGTCATTGGGTTTAGAACTGCATAACTCTGCTTAGGATCATGTGGTGCCTTCCTCCAACAGAAGAGGGGGAGCTACAGTTTTCACCAGTCATGGATGAGTTCTTTTTCAACCAATAAAACATCAGATTAAAATCCCAGCTACTAGAACTTAGTCTTCAACCTTAATATATTTGTTTAAAAAACTTTAACACACATCAAAGTGTGTAGCAGTCATTTTGTCACAGTGACGCAATGGAAATCACAGCTGCTCTGCCATTTCCACCATCCAGTACTGGTTGTCAAAAGAAAGTCACTGCAGGTGGAATATGAAGCCCAGAAATGGCTCTCCGTTACCCACAAGAAGGTCCAAAGCAGCGGCCCAAATTTGAGAACCACCTAAGGTAGAATTCTAGTGACATCCAGTGGACAATTTAGATAATATATTTAAGGATTGCCTGCCTTGTAGTATCACAGGGCTGTTAAATCAAAGCTTCAAATAGGGAGGTTTGGGGATTTCCTAATCTGATTCAAGGGCTATGTGTTATGTTAGAGAGCACATCCACACCAAAATTTGTTGGTTTCATAACATTTTATCTCTCGTGACTTCCTCTAAATAATCCGGGTAATTGGGCTGTGGTGAGCGTGCTGCAAATGGCACGCTAGCAATCCCTAATCCCTGCTCACAGGACAGTTTGCAGAATTCATTTTAGGAGGTCCGGTGTAAATATGTCCTCAAGACAGTTCTGTAACATATGGGCTCTCTAGCAGCAATCACAGATGGATCGTGTGTTGTGAAGTTATTATGATATTTTTACCATTTTTTCCCCTTACAGCTGTTTTAGTGGAGATAATGATGTGGGCCCACATCCCTACTGTATACCTTGAGGGTGGATGTGTGTTCCACATCTGTAGTCTGTTAAGGTCAAACTGACTGTGACTGGGGGGAGATCTATGATCAGTGTCCTCTGTAGGTTTGGAGAGTGGGGTGTGTTTCCAAGCAGCGGTGGGGAGGAGAAATCCGGTTGGAGAAGTGGTGCTGATGCGGGGGTGGTGGTGGTAACTCAGTAGCATCAGAAACTGCGTTCAGACTCTCCTTTTCACGGTAAATGAGGAACAGAGAGCAATACCAGCCCCCCCCAAATGCCCCCCCACTCCCATCTCTTCTTCCCACAGCTGTTATTTCACATCGGTTCATGAGCCTAGCCCAGGCAAATGTGTCTATTTCAAAGTCTGTAGCAGTAAATAGAGAATGGAGAACTAATTTCCAAGAGGAAAGCTTTGAGGTTTCCTTTAATTAAAAAAAATTCTTCTTTTCCACTCAAATTAAGGGCCCAGTTGAGCCTTTAGCCCTCCTTACTTCAAAGTGACCATAACAAGAAGAGCACTTCTAGTCCTCGGTGTAACTGTTCGGTTCTCCCATTGTGTGCTGCTCGGATTTTAACAAACTCGCCATACCATGCAGAGCCTTCCAACAGCATCTTGTTCGTATGAATGAGTACAAAAAAAGGAGATGCGTTCTAGTCATTATCTTCTCCCCCAGCTATTCTCTTTTATCATCTAAGTACAGTTTACGCTTCACATTCACATCTTCCAGATGTGGAATGTCCCAGTGAGTCACTCCTCCTCTGCCTGCAGATACGTGGAAATGTCTGAATAAGTCCTACGGTAACATCCCCTGCTCCCCACCCCAGTCACCGAGACTGTGAACTGCAACATTTCAGGAGCATAGAGGTCTGATGGGGTCACAACATATTGCTTTCAAAACAAAACAAAAAACGTATTTACCACGATAATGCAGTTGGAGAATCTTGACCTTAGAAAATGTTGCATTTTAACAGTCGTTCTCCCAGACCCCTGGAACTTGCATCACTTATACTTCCAGCATGAACGGAAATTGCATGGTGCAGTTTTATGTATGCTCAAATCAGGGGTCCCCCGACTTGGTGCCCCATGGGCTCCACAGGGCCCATCGATACCTCTCCTGGTATCTACCAAGTGTTTTGAGAAAGTGGGTGGGGCCAGGTGAGGCTTTTGCGCAGCAGGACTTCTGATTGGCCACCGAGGAGCGGATCGGCTGTGCAGGTACTTATAATGCTGCTTTGTCAGCAGCTGCCACCACACCACAAAGACCTTCAGTGCGTGTCTGAAGGGCAGCAGTGTGGAGGCAAGAAAATATTCTAAAACAATATGTTCATTTCAAAAGGCATTCTGTTTAAACAGAGCTCCTGCCTGAAATGTTTTTTTTAATTAAAGGTTTATTACAAAAATCACTTAACTCATTACTACAAAATGATTACATTAAGAAGCGATCAGGGCAAAAATCACCTTTACAGTTATACTATAATTGCCACAGATTAATCCTGCAAAGACAGAAAAGAATAAACTATCATCTAATTGGAGACCAGTTGTATCAACACATTGAAATCTCTTGATATTTAATGCTACAATCCAAAATATAGAAGTAATTAATTTCCTGGTAGGGATTTACACCTAAATTTACTTCAACTGGGGCCACTTCCGCACTGTCACTTTTGTCACTTGTTTTCCCCTATTGCTTTGCCCCCCCCCCTTTTCCCCAGAAAACGTGGGGGGGGGGGGGGGAAACCCTGAAGCAATAGGGACAAGCGAGTGCTAAAAGTGACGGTGCAGAAGATACTTCCATAATACATTACCGGCATGTAATAGTGCCCAACCAGAGTGATAACATTGCAAAATCACACATCATTCTGGTCAAGGTCAAGGCTCCCAGGGTTGTTGGGATAGGGTTAATCTAAGCTACTCTTAAATTAAAATTCCATATATATAACAACAGAAAAATCATTTTTCTTTGAATTCAGAATTGTACTGCTGTGTGCTGATTAGGTCCCAGTACCATCATCACTTTCGTGTTTTTTGAGGAACCCGAAGAATCTACCAGCCCAGGGACCCTTTGGGCTAAATTATCTTCCCCTCTTCAGATGTATTAAATCTGCCTGAGATGTTGAGGAGTTACTGCTAGAGTTATGCATGACGTCCTTCCCCAAGATTTCGTGGTTGGCTCCCACAAGAGTTGTAGTTGTGCCTTCCACCCTGTGTCTAAAGGTGCCACAGACTCAAAAAGATGAGGGTGCCTGGTTTAAATTCTCCTAAGACTCCGGACCAGTGGATCCAAAGAATTCCACAAGAATGTGGGATCCCCCCATATTCTGCAAGCTCCTACACTACCTGAAAAACTGCTCCTGAGGTTTGAGAGACCCTCAGGCACGTTATAGGATCCAGCAGAGAAAGGTGGAGGTTGCAGCTTGGTGGGGAAATCCACAGAAATTGTATTTCCCCCCTCCGTTATATGAACAGGTGCCTTCAACTCATACAAAAGGGCTACATTGGCTTCATAGTGGTTGAATGATTGAGCCATGAATGAGGAAATTCCTGAGTGAAAGCTATTTTCTTATTAGACCAGTTCCTATTTCTAAGCCTCCACCCCAGTGTGTGATACTGAGGTAATAATATTGATTAAACAATTCTTATACTGATTACTAAGATAATGTATGTGGATAAATACGGCCTTTCAAAAAATGGTGCTTTATATACAGCCTTTATCTATTTTAAGTCAGGTTTTGACTATATTGAGAGATCGATTGTAGGCAAAATTTAAAAATACATCCATTGACAAAAGGCTACCACTGTTGATTCAACGACTTTACATAGACACTAGGCTGAAGGTTGTTTGTAACAGAGGTGGTTATAGGACCAATATCATAGGCGTGCCAAACAAGGATGTATTCTTGCTTCCACTTGGTTTAATTTTTATATTAACTCGATAGTAAGGTCTCTTGAAGGCGATATCTGCACCCTCCCAAATTGGCATTACATCCACTCACAAGTCTTCTATATGAAGATGATGTAGTATTATTATCCTTAACTTCACTAGGTTTAAAGTGATTATTGAGAGCGCTTGCTGAGTTCTGTGACAAAGAAGAACAAACATTCAACTTTAGTAAGTCTAAAGTGCTTACATTTTCTAGACTAAAAACCAAGCACAGATGGATGATTAAAGGCAATAGCACAGAACACATCAAATCCTACGAATATTTGGGGTGGTCTTTCATTCTTCTTGCTTTTGGTTTCTCCGTTAAAATACATCAAAGCAAATGCTCAAAGAAGTCTAACAGCACTGTCGAGATTTTTTTACACGAAGGGGGGACAATGTATACCATTCACCATTAAAGTTTTTGACCCAAAGGTTGTGAACCAAATGCTGTTTGGATCACAAATGTGTTTTTATCAAAACTCTAAACCCCTGGAATTTATACAAACCAAATTTCTAAGATCCAATTTGACCTTACCATCCTGTATACCAAATTCAATATTACGCCTAGAAACAGGCCTGGTTTCCATTGATGCTTGGGTCTGGCTTTCTGCGATCACAACCTGCTTAATGTGGAATATACAACTGGGATATATGAAATAAACCAAAGTACTAAAGATATCGAGCTACAACAACATATCTATTCTGCTAGGAAACGTTACTATATAGAATAGTCAATTCAAATTAGCAAATTATCTAGGAAATCTCACAATAACAAAACGAAGATCAGCTTTTTCCTAGGTGCATTTTAATGTTCTCCCCTAAGCACTTTTAAAAGGAAGATACCAAAAAATCTCATATCCTGAATGAATTTGTCCTTGTGGTTACCAAGAAGTTGAATCAATAGGGCATGTCCTTTTATACTGTCCATTTTACAAAGGTGTGTGATGATCTTTTATCTCTGTTATTATGAAAATTCCTCGGAAGAGATGAAAAACTTTATATTACTGTTCTCCTTATAGATAAATCACATCAGACTATGGTGAAAGTTGCAGAATACCATACTAAAGCAAGGTCTTTCTGAGCCTCATTGGAGAAACAGAATGGACATTGCACTTTTAAAATGTCAACACCGTATCGAGAACGCTATATAGATTTGCAGTCTTGCATTTTTTATCTTAATGTTTATCGTGTTTATTTCTGCTGGTCGTTGACCGTAATAATCAATCAGTCAAGACAATTATGGAAGTCCTTTACTGTAGATCTGCTTGGATAGCAATGGCAATAGTGACAACCTCTAATAATTTATGGCTTTATCATGGGCAGTTTCTGACTGACAAGTCCATTTAGTTGTTTTCTGCATTCTGAGATCTTTTATCGATAATATCTCTGGAAAGAAGCTTGCATCCTGGGAGACAGAAATGCTTTTGGCACTTAGACTTTTTAACCCCACCCCCAATGCCCCAGTTAAGAGAGAAGATCCAGCTAGATTCCCCCCCCCCAACCCCGCCCTTCCCTTGGCCTCCTGTTTCATTTCTGATTGTGAAGGAACCTGCTCTGAGCGTTCTGTGAGAAGCCATAAATCTACACAACCTAGCGGTAGGAAACTTAGATTGGAAACAGTGGGCTGAGGAAAAATCTTATTAAAATTGTGATGGAAAATTGGCCCTAACCAGCTGTGTCTGTACTAAATGAATTAATATTTATGTACATGCAGATGAAAAACTGCATTGATGGCAACATATGAAACTGGATAGTTTTGGGGACCATGTTAAGCCTTCATTTTTTGCAGAAAACAAAGAGCTGCATTTCAAAGTCTCTGGCAGTAACTAAAGTCACCGTAACATGCCTGCATTCCTTCTTTTAGTTTCTGAAGGAGAGCTGGAATATAGTTCAAAAATGCCGCAGGTTATATTTTTACTTCTAGAAAATATGAGGTACTTCTGCTGTGCTTTCTCATAAAATTCTGTGCTGAGGGTTCAATTGTACGTTACCGTTTCTTCCTTATTTTCAGTGACTTATTTGCTTTTGTAAATGCACCTCCAGGATTGCTTTTTGAAGGAGGTTAACAGGGTGGGAAGAGAAGGGAGACTTTAACTTTTTCCTTCCCTGTTGTTTTCTCAATGAAAAAAAGCCACTCACGGTTGTGCCCTACTCTGCCTTTAACCCCACCTTCACTCGAAGTCTCAGAGTGGGCATTTTTGATATTAATTCATTTAGTACAGACACAGCTGGTTAGAGCCTTGTGGTGCCGGCGACGGAGACCGCAGGTCTTCCAGCAGCCAGCTTGACTGAGTTGGGGGGTGGGTGCAGGACGGCTGTCCCATTCATGGAAGAACGTCTTCTGAAGGCAATTAAGGCAGTACCAGCTGGAAAGAGGAGGCCTTACAGTACCTCTTGCGGGAGGGGAGTTGAATGCATGAAGCTGCCTTATACTGAATCAGACCCTTGGTCTACCGAGGTCAGTATTGTCTCCTCCTGGGGTGTCGAACTCATTTTTTATGAGGGCCGGATTTGACATAAATGAGACCTTGTTGGGCTGGGCCATGTGAAATACTGAAATTACTGAAATATTGTGTTTTAACGATTTTGCTGTTTTACATATGTATCTATATATATATATACTTTCTGCGAGCTGCCCTGAGCCTACCTCGACGGGGAGGGCGGGATACAAAATAAGTAAATAAATAAATAAATAAATAAATAAATGTTATGTAATGCCAGGTAGCAGAGATATAAACTTTATAAAGGACACAAACACAAAGGGTTTTTTTTAACTTAAAATAAAAACATGCTTAAAACATTACCGCTCTTGCAATATTTTGCTTATTTAACAGTGTCTGATAACGGACACCTCTTGCTCTGAATTATTGCGTCAAAATGCCTGTGCTATTGCAATCTTGGGTATGCTGTTCAGGTGTGTATCTGTAAGCGGCAAACCTACGATGATGCAGCAGCAGCAGAAATGGAGGAAGAAGCAGAAGACAGCCAGTTCCACTGTGGGCCTGACAGAAGCCCTCTGGGGGCCTGATCCGGACCCCTGGGCCGCATGTTTGACACCCCTGGTCTACTCAGCTTGGCAGTGGATCTCCAGGCTGAGTCTTTCACTGCACCTACTGCCTGGTCCTTTTAACTGAAGATGTTGCGATTGAACCTGGGACCATCGGCATGCTAAGCAGGTGCTCTTCCACTGAGCCACAGCCCTCCCCTAAGTTCTCCCTTCACCAGGCTGTGACAAGGAGTCAAAAGGTGGTTACGGCGGTGCTGGTTCAGAAGTCCAAAATCAAACCTCAGACCATGTGTTACCTTTCATTAGGACCAGATCCAGTGACACCAAAACAGCATACACGTTTTCAGGCTGCTGCTGGCCTGGATGGTCAGGGTGCCCTGAATGGTCCGGTGGTTGTAGTTGTGCCGTCTTTTTCTGGGATGCCTCCTGGGCGTGCTCCTAAACCACCGTTTAGCAATCTGAGGTTGGATGTCCATCCCCTCCACCTTGTCACACAGCAGTCGTGGTTTGTATTTCTTGAACGCCACCTTCTCTGCAGCTGTTTCAGGGTGCAGACACCATGCCAGAACAAATGTTGACAGCCTTAGAGCAGGGCTGTCAAACATGCGGCCCGGGGGCCAGATCAGGCCCCCGGAGGGCTCCCATCAGGTTCGCAGAGGAACTGGCTTCCAGTCCTGCTGCTGATGCTGCATCATAGCTTGATTCACCAGACTCTCTTAATCACTCAGCCATTTCATGTTTTAACCTAGGTCCTAGACTCAGAACTCTGAGCATGAGATTTCTGTGGTGAACGTCAATAAATCAAAAGTAGGTTTGCAGCTTACAGAGCTAATGTTTTAAGCATGTTTTTATTTTAAGTAAAAAAAAACCCTTTGTGTTTGTGTCCTTTATAAAGTTTATATCTCCGCTACCTGGCATTACATTTTATGACACACATGGCCCGGCCCAACAAGGTCTCATTTATGTCCAATCCGGCCCTCATAGCAAATGAGTTCGACATCCCTGCCTTAGAGGGTTGTCCCAGCAAAAAAAACCCCCTCCCCTCACTATAAATATCTGAGCGGTGAATCTTGGACTTCAGCTTCCTAGCAAACTCTTTCAACATGCAGTCCTCTCTTCTAGACCCTGTTTCTGCTCTTCCAGGCAGAGAAGAAGCACAGGTGCATGCCCATAACTCTGTGGATGACCAAACTGTACCATTTCAGGTGGAAGAACATCGTGTTTAAATGCTTCCTCTTATTAAAGGTGCTCGCAAGCGGAAAAGCAGCCCTTTGGGTCGAAGGCTGCTTAATGTATAATCTCAAGAGATATGCAGAGATTTATTAAGGGCAGTGAAAAGAGGTATAGAATATTCCCACCAAATCTAGTTGGTCTGTGAAGTCTTTGTTGCTGGATCCTCACCCTAAGTCATAAGTCAAGTTATGTAGGTTAATGGCTTTCCCTTAAGCACAATAGTATTCTCTTGTGTCCGGCAGACAGCTGCACCGAATAGGCCAGGGTATGGAATTGAAAGGCCGCACCCTGGCTATTATTTCTGTCCCTGGACGCTTTCGACCCCTTGCTTTCCTGTTCCCAGGAGTGCTGAAAGTGAACGTTTTGTCCACTCGACGGCAAGCTTGCTGGTCCCTTTCATGTAGACTCGCAAACAGTTGTCTCTTTGTGATGGGTCTCTTTGTCGGATCAGGATGAACAACCTTTTTGAAGTCGGCGAACAAGGCATCACTTTTTAAGAGACAGCGTTTGTACTAGGGGAGAAGGGGGAATAGAGTGTCCTTGACCGTACCGGAATAATGTGGGCCTGAATAATGTTCCGGCTGTTCTCCTTCTCCGTACGCTTAGAGATGCTGGAGTCTGAAGCTGTTCCTTCAGTACAGTGTACCCTGACCTCTTCACGAAGGCATCTGGTTCAAGGCTCCTGTTATTTTCCCAAACATTTTGTTTCCTTAGCAAGCACAATCTCTCAGAAAACAAATAACTTGGTGTTCTGAGACAACATTTAAAATGTCCATTGAGGGGGGGCTGTTTCTGTACTTATTAATTTTGCTGCTCTCCCCCCCCCTTTTCTTTTTCAGATGCAAAGGACCAGGGCTTGAAGGCTGTCCCAACGGGTAAGGATTGTAAATTAATTCTGTGTTCATAATGAACCTAGCAGTTCGAAAGCAAGAAATTGCAAGTAGATAAATAGGTACCGCTTTGGTGGGAAGGTAACAGCGTTCCGTGCGCCTTGGTATTTAGTCATGCTGGCCACATGACCACGGAAATGTCTTTGGACAGTGCTGGCTCTTCGGCTTGGAAACGGAGATGAGCACCGCAACCCTAGAGTCGGATTCGACTGGCTTTCGAGCAAGGGAAATCTTTACCTTTATACATATGAGTAGTGTTCCCTCTAAGCTGAGTTAGTGTGAGCTAGCTAGCAGGTTTTTAGCCTCCGGCTCACACTTTTTTGCCTTCGCTCAGGAAGGATGGCTCCAGAGCAAACTCATTTATGCAGCAGCCAAATCGCTCACCCACACCTTTAATGCCAGGAGTTCACAAAGTAGAATTTTTGCTCACAAGACTCCACAGCTTAGAGGGTGCATTGCAGATGAGTATGTGTGTATGTATAATTTTATGTATATAGTATAGGTGTGTATATATGGATACATAATTGGGTGTAAATCATGAGATAGGGTCCAAATATCCCCTTTCATTAACCCAAGGACATCTTGGGATCCAATCCAGTGCTTGATGCACCCAGCTGTCTTTGTTTTGAGTGGATTAGGGTTCCTCTGACCAGTGGTGGAATTAGGTAACATTTGAACTTAGTGGTCTTATCCAGTGTTCCCTCTAAGCTGAGCTAGTGTGAGCTAGCTCGCAGTTTTTTAGCCTCCGGCCCACACATTCTTGTCTTAGCTCAGGAGGAAGGATGGCTCCAGAGCAAACTAATTTATGCAGTTGCCAAATTGCTCGCTCACAACTTTAATGCCAATAGCTCACAAAGTAGAATTTTTGCTCACAAGACTCCACAGCTTAGAGGGAGCATTGGACTCGTTTCCCTTTTTAAATGTGACACGGGCCTGTTTTTCTGGATCCTCCAGGCGTGCGTGTATGAGACATCATATGTGCATCTCATTTTCTTGGACCCCTGCCATGCCCCCGCCACCGCCTAGAGATATTAATTGCATTTGTGGACTTCTCTAAGGCAGCTAGTAGTACTCTTCCTCTTGAACGCGGTCTGTGTGCATCTGTGAAAAAGATCCACCTTCCCCTTTCTCCCTCCACTGATAGACTGGGATTTGAGCCACTGGCGCTTTAGGGAAAGAATAGGGAAAGAATCCAGCAAGTCTCTCAGAATTAAAGAAAAAAATAGTCTTTAAAAAACAGTTTTATGTGACATGCCGCCAAAAAGCTGGTGGGGAAATCTAAGGGGCAAAAGATACAGAATTTCATAGAACCATAGAATCACAGAGTTGGAGGGGGCTGTGCAGGACATCTAGTCCAACCCCCCTGCTCGATGCGGGATCAGCCTAGAGCATCCCAGACAATTGTAAGTTGTCCTATTCATTGTAGATCGTCCTGTTGTCTGAATACAGCCAACACTGATCAGTTTAATTGGATGACTGTGTCTTCATATACAGGCTTTTCAGCAAAGCAGAGCACCTCACAAGCTAGTGATCTGCTGTCAGTGGAAGGACTTTTTATTATGAGTATACGGAGTTAAGCTTTCTTTCATTCTTGTTGTCGCTAGCAAGGAGGTCTTGCGTGTTGCAAGGACCTTTGCCATGCATGTCCTTTGGGTCCTTTGCAGTTGCAGGTAGAGGGCGGGTTTTGATTATGCAGAAAACCAGTCTTTCTGTCACCTCTCGTTTAAAAGCGGAGATGTGAGCCCCGGATGGCCAGCAAACCGTGGTGAACCAACTTCATTACTCTTGGCATGTTGTTTTAAGATCGGCGGTATTTGGTCTTTTCCCTCTAGCTCCAAGGTCCCATCCATTGCTGCTGGAGTTGTAGGGATCATGTTCGGCTTGCTTCTCATTGCGCTGGGCATTGGCCTCTACGTGCGGAGGCGTCGCATTGTCAGAAAGCGTACTTTGCGCCGGCTGCTACAGGAAAGAGAGGTAGGTTCAGGAAATGATTCTGAAATGCTGGCTGGGAGGGGTCAGAAAGGTCCCAGAGCCTTTCCAGACGATCAATTTCATATCCCTGATTTCTGCACAGAATCTGATTCTCTCCGGGAACTGTTTCTGGTTTTCAGGGGAAATATCCCGTTTTCCAAACAAGGTTACATTTGTGGTTGGATAAACATGCTCCTGTACCCTTGCTAGTGGGTGCTGTTGTGGCTTGCTGATATACAGGCAGTGGCTGTGGCATTGCCGATGAAGAGCAACACAGTTCCTTCTCAGTCACGGTGTCATGTTATGGTACTGTCACTGCTGGGACAATGGCTACTAACTAGGAATATCCCTAACCTTCCAACCCCAAGAGGGGATGTCATCATTTTTTTAAAAAAAGAGCCCAAAAGAGGATGGACACTAAAAAAAAAAGAGGACATGTTCTCTAAAAAGAGGACATCTGGTAACTCCACTACATTGCCACTTGCACTGATCTTAACATTGTGTCTGGAACTACTTTTTCTTATCAAAACACATTAACTGTCCCAGGAATGCTCTGTATAAAACATGGCAGTGTTGCTCTTCATGAGGGTCCGATGGCCTGTTTTATAAATGTTCCACTTTCTCGGCAATTCAGCTGAAAATGGGTAATGGCAGTTTGGATTTCAGGTATTTTCAGAGGGGGGTTGTTTTTGTTTTGCCCTGCTGTGGGGGTGTGTTTTGAAAATCCATTGAGCTGCACCAGTTTTTCGTACCTATTTCTGAGCGATGTTTTTGCCCAGGTAACCTGTTCGGAGGTGGGGGGGGTAATAGCAGCACAGAAAGGGTTGCCAACCCCCAGGTGGCACCTGGAGATCACCCACTGTGACAGGTTGCGTCCAGAAGACCTCTTCCTACGGAGATCAGGGCCCTGCGGGATCTTATGCAGTTCCGCAGGGCCTGCAAGACGGAGCTCTTCCGCCAGGCTTTCGAGTAGGAGCCGCCGCCCCTACTATACCACCACCGCCCTGAGGTCCCGATTAAACACCTACTATGGAAGAATCCTTCTGCCGTCTTCTTGGGACTTTGGACATTCGATCCGCCATCTTCAGATTATGAATGGCACTGAGCACTTTGTTATTAGATTTTAATATGTAACATATGTTTTAAATTGTTATGTATATATTGTTTTACCATGGCAAGTTGTTCTTGACTCTGTAAGCCGCCCTGAGCCCACTGGGGAGGGCGGGGTATAAGTACGAAAAATAAAATAAATAAATAAATCGTGCTATGTTTTGCATTGAACAGCTTGTGGAGCCTTTGACCCCCAGCGGAGAAGCACCAAATCAGGCTCTCTTAAGGATTTTAAAGGAAACGGAATTTAAAAAGGTCAAAGTTCTCGGCTCTGGAGCTTTTGGTACCGTTTACAAGGTATAGTTGCCACCTTTTCCTCCTCCACTGTAAAAGTTCAAAACTTGCAAATCAGAAAAAATATATATATCTTGGGTAAAATATATAACACGCTGAAATCTGTATTTCAGTTCATATCAATATTAATTCAATGCTAATATTGCATGTCAGTAAGGCAAAATCCTGATTTTTTTTATTTTGGCAGAATATTTGTTTGCAGTGTTTCAGTTACGACAGGAAAATGACAAGCAAATTAAAATGGGGGAAAGCTCAAAAAAGATCAGCAAGAATTAGCGTACCTTAGCAGTAACTGTGGTTACGTTGATCCAGATGTAGCCCTGCCAATAGTTATCTCTAGCCAAGGGAGAGGAGCAGCCATGAGCCCATGCAGTTATGTGGTGCTGCATCTGACGCAGGCCATTCTCTCTCTCTCCCTCTCTATGCTTCTCGCTGTCTTGGGGGGGGGGGGGGTGCAAATGAGCGCTCAGTTCTATTCAGACTTGCTTGGGAATAAGCAAAGCTAACAGAGCAGTTAGTGACAGGATCGGGCAGCATGGCTGAATGCCCATGTATGTTCTTGCAATCTGGCTCTTGTTCAAAGAACTGTACAGAGCAGAGTACCAGTGAGATTTCCTATCCACCCCTTCTTGCTGCTCATCTCGCAGCTGCCAAAAGCGGCTTCCGAGGACCAGGGGATTCTCTGGAACGGCAGGCGATGCTGCTTGAAAGATTGCAGCTGTGGAGGGACGGGCAGAAATGGGTGGCTCTCCTTAGTGGAGTTAGAATCGCCTTCCTCATAGAACAGGCCCCCCGATCCAGGCCATTATATGTTGGATGCCGTTTCTTTAGTCAAGTCCTATTTATCATTTCCCGGAAACTTTGTGACAGGCAGTTATCCTGACGGATTGTTTAATCGCCTCTGCTGCTTGGATGATGCATTCCTTCTGAGCATCCCATAGGGTTTACACGCAAACCTGCTTTCTATATGAGAATTTATGTATTAAACTTCTCCCCCTTTTGGTTATTTTTACAGGGGCTCTGGCTTCCAGAAGGGGAGAAAGTTAAAATTCCTGTGGCTATTAAGGAACTGAGAGAGGCCACATCTCCCAAAGCCAACAAAGAAATTCTCGATGTGAGTTCTCTCCCTTATCTTCTTCTATAACTTTCACAGACGTTGAAATATTGGGTGGGGTGGGGTGGCACAAAGTCAAAAATGCAGGCACTGTTTGTAGACTTATTCAGAGCTGTTGGCCACATTGATTTTTCCAGAGATCAAGTTTTCTGAAGGGTGCTTATTTTTTCGCCATCTCGCCCCCCCCCCACCGCTCGGGATTCCTCGGTTCCACCAGAAATGCAATGGTCTGGAACCACAAAACAGCATATCAGGATCAGAGAGACCAAAGGGACATGGGATGTGTTTCTCCAGCAGGGATCCCACCCACCCCCAGTGTTTGTTTATTTATTTATTTTATTTCACTTATACCCCGCCCTCCCCGCAAGCGGGCTCAGGGCGGCTTACATAGGCACAACTGTGCAATAAAACTGCAAGCCCCTTTTGAAACTGAGGAAAGTCTGAAAAAGCAATTTGTGATGCGGCACAGAGAATCTGTTGCTCAAAGGGGAAACAGTGAAAAAGAACAAACGAAAAACACAGGTCATGGACCTAAAATAGCTGTTTTAATCCCGGGTCATTAAAAAGGGGGGTGGGGTGGGGGTTAAAAAAGTAAATGCATCCTGTGCATCGATCGATGACCCCACAAGGAATGCCACATGAGGACACTCGGACCCCTGAGGCCACTGCCGACTTCCACCCTGCAGCTCCCCCTGTGCCAGAGTGCACCTGATGCTCCTTCCTTCCTTCCCTGTTCTCCAAAGCATCTGTAAATGGAAGTACCCAGGCTCCTCCTGGTTTGGGAAGCCATATAAGGCATGTGTGTCTTGCCACTCTCTAAAGGAAGCCTTGGCAACGAAGAGGGAAGGAGCATTGGGGCTACTGGTTCTGGGGTGGTGAGGGCAAGCAGGCAGCGGCAGTCATGACGGGGGAGGCAGTGGTGGCGGCCGCTGCCCCACACAGTCTGCTGCCCCAGGCCTCCGTTTCATCTCGTCCCATTGACAGAGCCAGCCATGACACTGCGAATGTACTTGTAACCAACTGTGATTAATTATTAATACCACTGCAATCAGACCAGTCGACATTGTGAATGTAAAACTGTGATGTTTGGGGGCAGAGTTTTCAACAGTTGCTGTAACAGATCGTGTGAGATGAAGCTGTATTTGTTGTTGTTGTTCAGTCGCGCAGGTGAGTCCGTCTCTTTGTGACCCCATGGACCACATCACGCCAGGCCCTCCTGTCTTCCGCTGTCCTCCAGAGTTTGCTTAATTTCATGTCCGTTGCATCGAATAACACTGTCTAACCATCTCGTCCTTTGTCGTCCCCTTCTTCTTTGACCTTCAATCTTTCCCAGCATCAGGGTCTTCTCCAGGGAGTGCTCCCTTCTCATTTGGTGGCCCCAAAGTATTTGAGCTTCAGTTTCATTATCTGGCCTTCCAGGGAACAGTCAGGGTTGATTTCCTTTAGGATTGACTGATTTGATCTCCTTGCAGTCCAGGGGACTCTCAAGAGTCTTCTCCAGCACCATAATTTGAAAGCATTTATTCTTCGGCGCTCGGCCTTCCTTATGGTCCAACGCTCACAGCTGTATTTATCTGTGTATTAATGACGTCATCTCAGCTGCTAGACAAGGGTGATGGCCATCCCCATTTTTCACCATATAATTTGTATTTATGACGTATCTAAAATATGTGTCCCACCTCTCCATAGTTTGTTTGAGGTGGCTTATAATAAAACCACACAGTAAACCACCTCAGTTGCCAGGATAAGAGCACAGTCAGCAGCCGGCAGCCACCATGGTGTATGCAAATCCAAAGGAAAAGGGAGGCACTCGACTGGATGCTTCCCCAAATCTGTCGCTGTCCCTGAAATCTATCTATCTATCGATCTATCTATCTAATCTATCTATCTATCTATATATCTATATATCCTTGGATTTATATCCCGCCCTACCCCGAAGGCTCAGGGCGGCTGACAAGGGCACAATGTGCCAAGATTATAACAATAAAAACACAAGTATAAAACAGTAAAATACAGTAAAATACAATAACAAATTTACAATACAAATTTAAACAAAGATGGGTAGATCTTAAACCCAATGGTAGCTTCCTGAAATCTATCATCCACCTCATGCCAGGGGCGACTCACCCCCCAGTGGGATCCAGACAATCGTGGTGATAGTACGACGGTGCATGCAAGGCAATGGTGGAATAAGGACCTCAGGGAAGGGGACATGTGGACGTCTGGCAGAAGGCAACAGCACAGAGGGCTCTCTTTCTCGTGACAGCCCTCCTCACTTCACTTGGAGGGAGGAACCCCCTGGATTGGGCTGGGGGGGGAGAGTCCTCTGTGTCTTGGCAGTATAATATGGGAACAAGCAGTCCTGGTCACGGAATGTGTAGGGCTTTAGGGGTCAAAAACAGCACTTGCAAGCCAATGTTCCCTCTAAGCTGTGAAGTCTTGTGAGCAAAAAAATCTACTTTGTGAGCTACTGGCATTAAAGTTGTGAGGAAGTGATTTGGCTACTGCATAAATTAGTTTGTTTGGAGCCATCCTTCCCAGGCTAAGACAAAAACGTGTGAGTCAGAGGCTAAAAAACTGTGAGCTGGCTCACACTAACTCAGCTTAGAGGGAACACTGCTTGCAACTGGGCCTAGAAACAAAAGTGGACTTTAAAATTGGGATCTTTAAAACTGGGATACTAGGCTGATGATCACTGCCCCCAGCCAGATTCCACTGAAGTTGTAGAGTGATAAAGATTCTGAATATTTCAGCTTCCTGATACGTCTGACAACATTGCAAAGGAAGTAGATGGTGATATGTTAACCTCCTCCTAGTCTTGAAGGGGGCAGACTCAAAAGCAGCTCACACCCATGCACTGTCTGATATCCCCCCCCCATCCACATTACCGGCCCCATAAGTGTGGAGCGCATTCAGAATATGAACCAGGGTGCTCAGGAATAACAGTATGCACAGATATGGGCTGTGTGTGTTCATGCTGAGGATTTGCCGTACATGGGAAGGATGGCAGGGAAGGAGGAAAAAAAACTGATAGTCTGCAACTGTGAATTTGAGAATTAACAACACTAGAAACGATTAGAAGAAAGCTCTGGGGGAGGAGCTCCTATTAGCTCCACTGCTTAAAAGTGTCCGTGCGCTGCGAGTATTAACAGTAACCTAATCCATTTCATTCTCTAGCCAGAGTTCCTAACGGCTTTGTTAGGATAAGAGCTAAGTCAGGAGATTTGCAGCCAAATACCAAACATAGTTGGAACAGGTCAGGGCATACCTTGGAGATTTCCAAGATACTGGTTTTCAAAAAAGGCCCCCAAAGCCTGCTGTAAGTTCTCAAGAGCCTTTAAAGAAACATCTGACTGCACAATGGCTTCGTTATTCTTTCTCGAAGGGGTCAGCCGGCTCTTTCATTCTGCAATATTAAATTTAATGGGCTCTGTTGAGTTTTGGAACAGCTCCGTCTTCTGTGTGGCCCACATGCGTACCCGGTCCATGCATTTAAATTCACAGTCTGGCAGTCTTCAAGTCAGCATTTGCGGGAATGCTCGCTTCAAGCCACGTGGTTAGGGAATATTGGTTTAGCTGAAAATTAATACAATATGTCTCTGACATAACAGGAAGCAGAATGAGAACCAGACTTGCTTCACAGTTACGAGTCTGCAATGCATATCACTGTCGCTGAATTAGAAGTCTGCAGTCTTTCCAAGAAAGACCATTTCGATGCAAAGTTGTTTTCTATGCATTTATAATGGGTTGTCACCAAAGATTGCCTTCTGCGAAGTGACTGATATTGCCAATGGACACCTCTTTCTTGCAGTGGAAACCAGCTCAGTTTTATGCATGAAGTAGCTACAGTGACTGTATTAGAACTGCCCCATTCAGCCAATTTGAGTTCCTAGCGCTCAGCAGCTGGATCTCAGAAACCAACAGTGTGTTTTCTAGCTAGTGATCTGGAAGCTAGGGGACTATCCCCTTGGGAAGCAGGAGAAACCAGTTCCAGGCACATCTCCATTCCTGGAAAATTGAGAGGCTCCGTTTTCAGTTAGCCAAATGCGCATGGGAAGAGAGGCTGGCCCTTGGTGGTTGCAAAAGACACGGATTCCCTGGACTAGCCCTTGCAGTCCCCACTTCTCCCCAGGGTCCCCAGACCCCAGTTTAAGAAATGCTGGCTCAGGGCATTGTGCACAAAGTGTCAGCCTAAGCAAGCATTCCAAAATATCCAAGAAAACAAGCAGTGATAACAAAGCAGCAAAACAGGGAAGAGGCCGCGGCTCAGTGGTAGAACACATAGCTTTGTATGCAGAAGATACCAGGTTCAGTCCCTGGCATTTCTTGTCAGCATGATCTTAGGAACCAAGGCTGGGAAAGCTCCACCTACCAACCTAAAATAGCTGCTGCCAGCCAGAGTAGACAGCTTTGGCCTAGACAGAGCAATGGTCTGCTTCTAAAACTTCAGGTGTACAGGGAAAGCCTACTGTCTTCTTTCCAAAATGATTAAAATTCTGAATACAATAATCGCTTCAGCCAAAGGTCTGGCAGAATGAATGTATTTTACCAATCTCTGGGAAATTTGCAGAAATGCCGTGTGACCACAACGTATGGAAAGGCTTCAGATATCTCTCTTTCTGTCTGTCTGTCTGTCTGTCTATCATAGATAGATAGATAGATAGATAGATAGATGGATGATTGATAGATGGATGATAGATATTTTGCCATCAAGTCACAGATTACTTATAACAATCCCATGGCATTTTCAAGGCAAGATGTTCAGAGATGGTTTGCCACTACGTGGCTCTGTGTGGCAGCCCTCGTATTCCTTGGTGGTCTCCCATCCAAATAAGGCCGACCCTGCTTAGCTTCCAAGGTCTGACAAGATCGGGCTAGCCTGGGCCATAAAGGAAGTTTACATTATTTATGTGACCTAGGCCACTGAGTTCTCTCTTTTTTGCACTGACATTCCTTATGTTTTTTTGTTTTAATTAAGCATTGCAAGCCTAGCAATTACAATTACACTGGAATGGGAAAGGCTGCAAACCAAAGGATTTTTTGCTAAGTATGTGAAAGCATTAAGCCATATTGCTAAAACAAGTTGCAACATTTATGAAGGTTTTGACAATGGAATGAAATGTACCATCAATTGTGATACAAACGTTTTGTCTCAGAAGTATTATGTAATCCAAAATCCGGTCTTGCTTTTGCCAGCTTGAATGGCATTTCAGCATGCAGACCTGAAAGTGATCAGTGCATTTGGAAAGCATCCATTACCTCAGTATGTGATGGCATATAATGGAGCTGGGCTGTGGTTCACTGGTAGAACATCTGCTTGGCATGCAGAAGGTCCCAGGCTCGATCCTCAGCATCTCCAGTTTAAAAAATCAGGTAGGAGGTGATGGGAAAGACCTCTGCCCGAGACCCTGGAGAGCCGCTGCCAGTCAGACAATACTGACCTTGATGGACCAAGGGGTCTGATTCAGTCTAAGGCCGCTTCGTGTGTGGCATTCTTGCATGTGAGATCCAAACTATACACCATGTGGACTGAGGTGGCAGAATTTTGGACTATAGCAGCAGATCGCAATTGGGGGCTGTGTGAGGAAATCATATGTTTGAATGGTCCTCCACGTAAAAAGGCCCCTGCGGAAGATCAGTTAGGGCATCAGGTTCCGATAACTCTACCCATAGTGCTCTAGGCTTGTAGGCAAAGAACTGTTTCGGTGACGGAACAGTCGTGTCCATGACATCGAAAAATGCATTTTTCCAAATACACATATAATTAGGAAGCAGGCTTCACATTTGCAGACATCCAACCTGTCCATGTTGACCCAAGAGACTAGTTTACTGTAATGAGCTTTACATGGGGTTGCCCTTAAAGATAATCTGGAAACTGCATCTGGTGCAAAATGCAGCCGCCTGTTCGTTACCCGGGACTAGCGGCAGGACCTTGTCCCTTCTATTCTTTTTTCCTTTTTTTGGCCCCCCGAAGGGGAATTTTTTTTATTTGCATTTTCTAAAACTACAACAGAAATAAGGGAGGGGAAACCTACAATCTATGGGAGAAAGTAAAGAAACCTAACTAAAACCCCAAGTGTGGAGATTATACAATGCTTGGAAAACCGTTGTTACTCTTTAACATTTACTTTAGACATGAAGAGTGTCTGCCAATCATCACTTCTGTCATTGAAACCAGCTTATCTGACTAAACAGAAAGAAATTCCAAGGCTAGTTCCCTTTTTGCGTCCCCCCGCCCTACAGACAAGCTATTTTGGACCCAAAAGTCCCTCAGCAAGAACATTCAAAAAGAAATATCTTCTTCCGTCTCCAATGTATCTCCTTTTCCAATTAGCTTCACTAAATCAGGACCTGTCCATTTAAAATGTATACCGAATTTCTTTTTCCGGGGACCTCTTCGCTTCCTTGTTCACCTTGAATCATGAGAGTCCTTCTTTTTGTTGCATTAAATGCACACTCATTGGAGAATCCAATCGCACTCTTAGCTAGCAGATTTTATGAAGTGAGGGTAGCGAGCCCTTTGCTCCAAAAAACGCTTTTCAATCTGCTTGCTAGTCCATCCCTGATCAAGCAAACTTTGAAGTTTCCATACCGTCCATAGTTCTCTATGTTCAAGGGGTCATTCCTTCTTACACACTGTTCCTTTTAAAAGTATTGCTGTTTTAACACAGTTCCTGTTTGATACTCTATTTTAGCCAGCAAGGGGCCCACGATTTACTTTGTAGACATAGTCTATGGTTAGGTCACATGACCCAACCTTCCAGTGTTCTTCTTCCTGAAGAAGATTTGGGTCCCGCCTTCCTCTATGCCTCTCGTCACCATCTTTGGGGGATGTTTACATTTATTGATAAAGAATGCCAAAGTCTCAAAGGTCTGTAAAAATGCTCAACTTTCTTTTGGAAAAAAACTCTCTGTTATAGCCCATCACCGCAAGTTAGATCAGTCCCCCAGTCATGCTTTCACATTCGCTTAGACGTCAAGAGAAAGGGCATCCCCTCCCCCCTTCACTTCAAGGGGGACTTCACTTCAATGCTTTGGTGTCTCATTTCAACGTTAACTCATTCCTCAGTCTTTAGGTCGATCCAGCAGGTCCTAATGCAGCCCCTGGGATCACACCAAGCAGAAAAGCCGCTAAACCTCCTAGTGCTTGTCCCAGTGTGCGTAGCTTAGCCCCATTCGGGGGATTCAGCGCAGAGAACGTCGGGGTGGAGGGAAGCCTCGATCTGCCGGCAGTGTGCCAACAGAGAGGCTAACCTCAAAGCCCCATGGTAAGGGACCCATTGGAAGGGTCCCAGAGGGGCGCGAATGGACGCACCCCCTCTCAATGCGCTGATCCACAGATCGCTCCCTGGGGATGCGGCCGCCATCAGCCCGCCAAAACCAGAAGTCCTTGTCCCTTCTGTTCTGAGGTTCCTTCACTGGCTGCCTGTTAGGTCCAGGGTTCAAATGACAGGTGTTCGTGTTCACCATGAAAGCCCTTCATGACCTGAGGCCAACATACTTAAAGAATCACCTCTCTCTGCACGTTCCCACAGTGCAGTGCTACTCTTCCCACCAAGCTCTGTTATCCATCCCCACCCCATCCCGCTGCCTAAGGCATGATCTGGGATAGTCCAGACTCCGGCTTTTCCAGTGGCTGCCCCGTGCCTGTGGGACAGCCTCTCGGGGGGGGGGGCACCCACCTGGCTTTCTGGCAAGGCGATAAGGCAGGGTTATCCCAGAGAGCCTTTAAAGCACCCTGAGCCTGTTCATTGGCTTGCGGGGTCTAGAAGGTATTTCAAGATTGGTTTCTAGTTTTTAAAAAATATATTTTTATGTTCATGTTTATTTATCAAACTGTTTGGTATTGTTTTATATTGTGGTTTAGCCCCTTAAGACACGAGATGCTCGGGTGGAGGGTGTGTGAGTGTGTCTGTGTGTATTCTAGATCTATCACTAAATAAAGAATAGGTCACCGCACCTGAAGTATGAAGTGGTACATACGAACAGCTCCACCGCCTCATTCTGTGGAGCAGGGCTCTTTTTGTAGAAAAAGCCCAGCAGGAACTCATTAGCATAATAGGCCACAACTAACAGCAGGAACTCATTAGCATAATAGGCCACACCCAACAGCAGGAACTCATTAGCATATTGGGCCACACCCCTGATAGCACAGCTCATTAGCACATTAGGCCACACCCCCATGTTACCAGAAGTGTGGTTATCCAGCCACACCCACCTTTTGCTTGTTATTCTGTTTACCTTGTTCATTATCAAAACCCAGGGCCTTTTTTGTAGCAGGAACTCCTTTGCATGTTAGGCCACAAACCCCTAATGTAGCCAATCCTAATGAGTTAGTTTCGGAGGTTGGTTGTGGCCTATTATGCTAATGAGTTCCTGCTGGGTGTGGCCAACTTGGGAGCCAGCCAGAACTCCGTTCCTGCCCAAAAAATAGCCCTGCGAGTGTATGGAATGATTCTAGGACACATTCACTGTTACGTTTCCACCGCTTTTCTTGCATCTTGACATTTTTTGGCACTGCAGAGGACGGGGTTTCAGTCTCGCTCTTCTCTTCCCCCTCGCCCCAGGAAGCGTACGTGATGGCCAGCGTTGACAACCCCCACGTCTGCCGTTTGCTGGGGATTTGCCTGACCTCCACCGTTCAGCTGATCACCCAGTTGATGCCTTATGGCTGCATCCTCGACTACGTCCGAGAAAACAAGGACAATATCGGTTCCCAGTACCTTCTCAACTGGTGTGTGCAGATTGCAAAGGTGAGCGAATAGCAACGTCCTCCTAGTTTGACGATGTCTTGCGTCTCTGACACCGTTAGATCTGTCTGCTGGGCCCAGCCCACCGTCCGAAACTCTAGGTGTGGCACACAAAAGCCAGCCCACCAAAACGCCTGGACTTTTTGTGGACTATCCCTGCTGCAATGTGCATGGCTTCTGAAATTTCGAAACGCATAAAGTACTGCTATGTAGGTTTTTAAAATTGGGGAGGGGTAGTCAGAAGTCCTGTTGCATATGTGCTCAGAATTCTTTGGGTTGGAGAAAAAAGCCTGCACTCTTATCTAGAGACCCGAGCAAATCTCTTGGTTGCTAAACCACAGACAGGAAGCCCATTCCCAAAGGTACTTTTCTGCAGAGTTCATGCTTTTATTTGTTTCCTAGGCATCTGAAGAAGTAATTTTTCATCTTTCTGAAGGGCTTTATCTCTTGTCATCTGAAACATAGAATTTTTCTCAGCACTAAAGTGTCTCAGGAGATAGACCGTAAATTTAATAACTAACAAAATGAGATGGGAGTTTAGAGCACTATGAGAGATTTGTAACAAACTGTTTGGCTTCTATAATTCTACAAAAGATACGGCCAACTGGGACAAGTCTTGGATAAAAATAGTTGCAACATTGCACAATTAAAACAGGGTTTACATGTTTACCTCTTATATGTTAGAAATCCAGCTAGATAAATAAATATTTAATTATTCACAAGTAATTCTGTGTTCGCAACTTCAAATGAAATGACAGTATTGTGTTCTTAGGTATGCTGTACCATGAAACATGCAAGTGTTTACTTGAAGGAGGAATTGCCAAACTGGATAAACTCATTATGTGTGAGGCCTTGATAAATGAGGCTGCTGTTAATAGGGCTTTGTTGTTGATGATGACTCGATCTTTGAGAATAACAGCTCATTAAAGTTCCATTTATTTAATGAAAGCAGCTTTTATAGTGGCCTTCTGCCAGTGTGCTGGGGTAATTTGTTTGGCAGCATTTGAAACCCTTGCAGAAATTCATCTGAAGATGGTGGTCCAAGGTTAATGAGGGAAGAATGAGGGTGGACGCTAGGGAGCAAACGTATTCCTAACCGCTGCATCACCGCATTCGCGAAAAACATGTAGTAGCTGCGGTCACATGCCGGAAATGTTTTCCTCTGTTAACGTTTCTGGGTGGCCTTGGGCCAGGCACGCATGCTCAGCCTCGCCTACCTCACAGTTGTGAGGGCAAAATGGGGGCGAGGAGAATGCCGTAAGCTGCTTTAACATAAGAACATAAGAGATGCCAATATTGGATCAGGCCAAGGGCCCATCCAGTCCAACACTCTGTGTCACACAGTGGTCAGAAATACCAGTGCCATCAGGAGGTCCACCAGTGGGGCCACTGGTGCTTTGGGTCTCCATTGGGGAGAAAGGCCGGAAGCAAATAAGTAAATACCATAGCTCTTCAAAGATACCACATTTATGAGTTAAAAAAAAACCCAGTAGGTTGGATCCAAAGGTTCTGGTCCACTAATGCTGGAACCTTCCTCCAATGGGAGAGGCACGCAAGACCCCTTGAACCAGAGGAATGCTTTACCATTGATAGCGTGGAATATCTGGATCCAACCCAATGTAATATGAACGTCATCGATGATCAACATGTAGAGACGTTCTGGTTGCCCCGGAGGCCACTGTGGAGTGGTGGTGAAACTGCCAGACTAGAAGGCCCCTGTTGGAATCCCGGCTCTTCCATAGAAGCTTGCTAGGTGATCTTGGGCCAGCTGCTCTTTCTCTCAGCCTAACCTCTTTCACGGGGCTGTTGTGAGTCTAAAATGGAGGAGGGTGGTGTTGAGCTTCTTTGGGTCCCCACTGGGCAGAAAGGCAGGCGATAAATGAAGTAGATACATAAACAATAAGTGCAGGCATCATTGCACATTCTGGTGCTGGAGTGATTGTGCATGGGATTGGTTACCTACACAAAATAAGCCATGCGATTTACAGAGAAGAAGAAGGACCTTGTCTTCCTTGGTGGTCTAAGCATGGCCAATCCTGCCAGTTTGGTGTAGTGGTTAAGTGTGCGGACTCTAATCTGGAAGAACCGAGTTTGATTCCCCACTCCTCCACTTGCACCTGGCTGGATGACCTTGGGCAAGCCGTAGCTCTGATAAGAGCTGTTCTTGAAAAAGAGCAGTTTCTGTCAAGAGCTCTCTCAGCCCCACCCACCTCACCGGGTGTCTGTTGTGGGGAGGGGAAGGGAAAGGAGTTTGTAAGATGCTCTGAGACTCCCTTGGGTAGTGAACGGAGGGGAATAAATCCAATCTCCTCCTCCTCCTCATTTTTCACCGGTGATGAAACTGCAGCAGGTTTGTCAGAATGGGCCCTTTCCGTATGAGGAAGATAAAACTGGTTTCCTGCAATGTGTGTCTGTCTTTGGGGTTTCCCCTAACCGTACACTGCGTACCTGCTGCAGGGAATGAATTATCTGGAGGAGCGCCGTTTGGTACACCGTGATCTGGCTGCCAGGAACGTCCTCGTCAAGACACCCCAGCACGTGAAGATCACCGACTTTGGGTTAGCCAAACTGCTGGGTGCAGAGGAAAAGGAGTATCATGCAGAAGGCGGGAAAGTAAGTAAGAACATGGATCCCTTACTCTGGCTCGGCTGAACCGAATGGCAGTGCTAAAAGTGGCAACCGAAGCCCTCATTCCTAGTGAAGGCAACCGTTAGGATAAACAGGAACACGCTGGTTAGTTTTGATTTCTTTGGCAGACTGTGTGTCCTCGATGCCTATAGAAAAGCCACTGTTCTGATATTTTTAAATGAGTCGATTCAGAGGCATTCATTTTTAAAAGGCCTAAATTCTGAGGTGGCTCATATGATGTGCTGGCTTTAGATGGCTGCCCATCTGTTTTCCGGAGGTGCATTTGTATCGTATTACACGTGGGAGGGGGGCGATTTGGAGTTGGGGGTAAGCAGTGAAGTGGCTAAGTTTGCAGACAATGCTAAGTTGCTGTTCTTATGTTCTTATCTGCTAGGCATGTAGATCGTCCCAGGTTCAGTCCCTGGCATCTCCAGTTAATGGACCTAGGTGGTGTGAAAGACCTCTGCCTGAGGTCCTGGAGAACCAGTGACAGTCTGAGTAGACAACACTGAACTTGATGGACTGATGTTCTAATGCAGTATAAGGCAAGCTTCATGTGTCCATGCAAATGCTCATCCTTGGGCAAAGCGTCATCATACAGAGAATTTTCTTGCTTCTGTTCAGTGTAAATGTCTCGCAATCGGTGGAATCTAGTTAGAACAGGGGAGATCTGCAAGCATTAAGCACAGGGGCGAAATCCACTGCAAGGAGGCATAACAAGAACAGCCGAGGTTACTTTTGTACTCCCTTCATTGGCTGCTTCCAGTTTATTTGGTTCCGCTTTTGTGAATATTTCTCAGTTCTAACCAACTTGCTATTAGATTGAGTAACCTCACTGCTACTCTTCCTAGGTTCCAATTAAATGGATGGCCTTGGAGTCTATTCTGCATCGCATTTATACCCACCAAAGCGATGTTTGGAGTTACGGTAAGTCTGAAAGTAATATTGCACTACTTCTGATTGGCCATTAAAAATAAGGAATTGTTAGCTGCGATTTCTTGCTGTTTCTGTTATCTTTCCAGAAGAGCCCATTCTTCTTAGGATGATGCTTATAGCAGTATCTTAAGTAGCAAAGTGACTGAAGTTGGCAATTATAACCAATACAGAAAGCATTAAACACAACACTTGAAGCTCGGGTTGCTTGAGCTGGAAGACGAGATAAGAGGGATGTTCTCGGATTGCTTGTGTGTCCATAATTCCATGTTTTATTTCCTAAACAATATGCCCAAAGAAGGGTGGTCCAGTACAAGAACAAGCTTAATTCCGCTGGTGTTTATGCTGTATGACTTCAGGCTGAGGGCCTCACATGACAGAATGTTTTTCTAGTTCTTCCAGATGTGTATTTCCAGAATTTGTGCTATAATGATGAATGGATTCAAACAGGAAGGAAGAATGTAATGGTATTAAACTTAGTTCTGGATATGCAAAGAAATGAGGGGGGGGATACAAGGGAAGAAAGAAATTTATTTTGCGTAAGCATGGTCTTTTATTATTTTTAAGGTTAGAATTTGTTTTCTCTTGCTAAGGTAGAAAGGCAAAGTACCAAAAAGAGGAGGAAGTACCAAAAATAAGAGAAAATGGGTGGGTGTCCCTTGGGAAAACTCAGTGTGGTGTAGAGCCAGTTTGGTGTAGTGGTTAAGTGCGCAGACTCTAATCTGGGAGAACCAGGTTTGATTCCCCACTCCTCCACTTGCACCTGTTGATGTGACCTTGGGTCAGTCACAAGCTCTGGCACAGCTGTCCTTGAAAAAGAGCAGTTTGTGTCAGAGCTCTCTCAGCCCCACCTACCTCACAAGGTGTCTGTTGCGGGGAGGGGAAGGGAAAGGAGTTTGTAAGCCGCTCTGAGACTCCTTCGGGTAGTGAAGTGCGGGGTATAAATCCAATCTCTTCTTCTTCTTCATTTTAAAGGTGTCCCTCCATGCTGCTGCAGAAAACCCCCCCTTTTTTTTCCAAAATGAGAAAACATATGACAAGGGAGGTGTAAGAGCACATGCACAGAAACCATTAGTGTCGTTCTGAAATTCCTTTTTTTCCTTGCCAAAAAATAAACTGAAGTGAAATCGAGAGCACAGTGGAACCATGGAACAGTAACGACAGAGCTGTGGGAATCTGTTTCTCTCTATGACTTGTTCGTAGAACATTCATGCGCTTGAGCCCCTCCCGTATTCTTTACAGCCCCAACATCGATTTCCAGCCCAATAAGTGCAAGGCCTAAGTCAGTTGTCCAAACTGGAGGAGACAGGCAGTCTTACGCGCCACAAGTAAAGCCACGGCAATGCTAGGAGACTGGAAGAAAGAGAAGGGGGAAACTGGAACGGCCCAGACCCATTGTTGTCTCAGCATCTTGGGCCCTTTAGGCAGAGTTTGCACGTTGGAAAGTCCTCTCCATGCTGACAGCCACGTCCCTCATCAGAACCTTCTGGGCTCCTGGGAGCTTCTTGCTGAATTTACAAATTCCGCTCCCTTCTGTCACTTCCGGTGATGTCAGGGAGCGTGGCATATGCAAATAAGTTATGCTAATGAGTTATGCTAATGAGCTCCGGCAGCTCTTTTTCTACAACAAGACCCCTGGCCACAAGTAAAGCCACGGCAATGCTAGGAGACTGGAAGAAAGAGAAGGGGGAAGCTGGAACGGCCCAGACCCATTGTTGTCTCAGCATCTTGGGCCCTTTATGCAGAGTTTGCACGTTGGAAAGTCCTCTCCATCCTGACAGCCACGTCCCTCATCAGAACTTTCTGGGCTCCCGGGAGCTTCTTGATGAATTTACAAATTCCGCTACAAGCAGAAAGCATAGGGTTGCCAAGTCAAATTTTCTTACCGGCGGGGGAGCCTTGCCGGGCTCTGGGAGCCGTTCCTCGATGTGCGCGTGCGCAAAATGTGCGCGGCCAGCACGTCACCAGAAGTGACCAGAAAACCATAGAGTTTTCCCTCCGACGATCGGGGCCACGCCCCCAACGTGATTGACGTGATTGCGCCACCTTCAGTGACGCAGCCATGCTGCGCTTCGGAGGGCGGAGTTCCCCCCAGGGCCCAATTCTGCAGCGGCGGAAATCGGAACTCCGCAACAGGGGGTTTTAATCGAAATTAAAATCTTGCATTGGTGTTTTTATTTTTAAAATCTTTTTGTACTAGAAGTAGGCAGTAATAATGCATGCTTCCTTAAGAGGCGCGGGAAATAAGAGCCAACAGGACGTCTGTGATGTGTTAATACAATTAGGTACACCCACGACAAACAGCTTAGTCTTCCTTTTTGTCCTCTTTGCAAACCAGTACTGATGGCCCTTTAAGAGAGCCCTAACTGCTTCCAAACGAAGATGAATAATGCTAAAGCTGGTTGTTCCTTGGCTGATAAAACAAATCCCTTTATATCCTGGGAGGATGCTGCCTTCCAGTTTAAAGGACACCTTTAAAATTCTCCCCTGCAATGGTCTTTCAGGTGTGACAGTGTGGGAAGTGATGACGTTCGGATCGAAACCCTATGATGGGATCCCAGCCAGTGAAATTTCCATTGTCCTGGAGAAAGGAGAGCGCCTGCCTCAACCTCCCATTTGCACCATTGATGTCTATATGATTATGGTCAAATGTAAGTTAATGACCTCTACATCTTAGCAGAATTCCTCTGCGCGATGCAATTAAACAGAGAGGATAGCTTGAGGTGGGGCGGGGGACAGAGGGCGTGATGTTCCATATGCTTGTTGTTGGTGTCTACACACTTGGTGACTTTAGAAGCATAAAAAGGTAAAGGTAAAGGTTTTCCCTTGCTCAAAAGCCAGTCGAATCCGACTCTAGGGTTGCGGTGCTCATCTCCATTTCAAAGCTGAAGAGCCAGCGCTGTCCGAAGATGTTTCCGCGGTCGTGTGGCCGGCATGACTAAACACCAAGGCGCACGGAACGCTGTTACCTTCCCACCGAAGTGGTGCCTATTTATCTACTTGCAATTTCTTGCTTTCGAACGGCTAGGTTGGCAGGAGCTGGAACTAAAGACGGGCGCTCACTCCGTCATGCGGCAACTCGGGTCTCGAACTGCTGAACTACTGACCTTCCACAGCCTGCAGTTCAGCGTCTTAACCACTTGAGCCACCGCAGCTCATACCAGGCCTTTATTCACGTGTTTGACTGATTCTCATTTTTTATACATTGAACTTAAATGTAATAGAAGAGACCCATGTATGACTTAAAACAATCAGCCGTACTAGTCCATCATAGCAAAATAAAACAAAAATTAAAGACTAATAAAATTTATGGATTTTTTTGAGGCCTAGCCCACTTCCTTAAAAGGTGGCACTGGATTTTTGTTTATTCTCTCCCTCTGTTTGAAAAGATACCCTGACCTGGATAGCCCAGACTAGCATGATCTTGTCAGATCTCAGAAGCTAAGCAGGGTCGGCCCTGGTTTGTATTCTCTGACAGGGCTGTAGCCTGAAAGATCAGGCATTGGCAAGTCTACATTATTTTAGAGAAGTCGCTAATTTTTATTGTTTAACCTGGGCGAGGGTGGACTGGCTTTTCTCTCCAGGCAGACCATCCTTCCCCCTCTAGCCCTGTCTCATCTTTAGGTTAATTTGAGGCTGATTTCATGAGTTAATAGAGCAATCCAGGAGCCTTTTCTACATAACTGTTCCCGCTCCCCTCTGATAATACCAGATCAGCAAGTGAAGTTGCCTTGCATGGACTCAGATCACAGTCTGTCAAACTATGGCTCAAAGTTTTGCTGCAACCAATTTTTTTAAAAAAATTAGTAAGTTCAGTTTATTCCCTGACCCTCCCCAACGACTTGGGGTAGGTAACGCTTTAAAATAAATCCAAATACCGACAATAAAATCAAGATTACTCACCCTGACCTGGGTAGCCCAGGCAAGCCCAATCTCGTCAGATCTCAGAAGCTAAGCAGGACTGACCCTGGCAAGTATTTGGATGGGAGACCTCCTAGGAATACCAGAGCTGGAACTGGCAAGTACTTGGAAGGAAGACCTCCAACAAATTCCTGGGCTGGGACTGAATGTCCTCCGTGTCCCAGCAGGAGTTGGCAGAGGTTTCCATGACTTAAAGGCATGGGCACGCACGCGCACACACACACACACACACAAATACAAAAAATACTCCCCCAAAAAAGATTACCCTAGTTCTTCGTGCATTGGACAACATGAGCCCTAACTAATGAAAACGTGTGCCCTCTCTAGAGTGCCACTAGACTCCTGTTTTATTTTGCCACCCACACTGTTTCAATGCTGATCCAAACAGGAACGCTTGTGCTGTTAGCTTGATATGATTTTTTTTTTGGAGGGGGGGGAAGTCTACTGAGTCCTGTGCTGAGTATCTTAACTTGAAGTGGGAGGAATGTCTGTAAGGCCCGCCCATTCAGTGTTAATATTCAACAGTCATACTTAATAAACACTGTCTGTTTCACACCCGTCTGATCTGCTGCATCTCTGTAGACTCAATATGTCACTGACTTCTATCTAAGCTTGTGTAGACAGCCAATAGGATTTTCATTGTTGTACCTATCTTTTTTAATTCCGTATATTTTTAGTTGTAGTGTTAATATCACATTCTGTAGCATCTTTGCACTGGGTGGCTCAAGTGGTTAAGACTCAAGTTTGCACTGTGGTGGCTCAAGTGGTTAAGACGCTGAACTACAGACCGGAAGGTCGGGAGTCCAGCAGTTCAAGACCCAAGTGCCGCATGACGGAGTGAGCTCCCGTCTCTGGTCCCAGCTCCTGCCAAACCAGCGGTTCAAAAGCAAGAAATTACAAGTAGATAAATAGGTACCTCTTTGGTAGGAAGGTAACAGCACTCTGTGCGCCTTGGCGTTTAGTCATGCCGGCCACATGACCACGGAAATGTCTTCGGACAGCGCTGCCTCTTCGGCTTGGAAACAGAGATGAGCACTGCAACCCTAGAGTCAGCTGGCTTTCAAGCAAGGGAAACCTTTACCTTTACCTAGCGTCTTTGCACTGTTAAGGTTATAAATAGGGGTGCCAGCCTCCAGGTGGGACCTGGGAATCCCCCAGAATTACAGCGTATCTCCAAACTATAGATACTTTGGAGAGGTGGAATCTATGGCATTGTACCTCTCTGAGGTCCCTGTCCTCTCAAGGATCCACCCCCAAATCTCCAGGAGTTTCCCCACCTGGATCTGGCAACCCTACCCCCCATGCCCCACCGGTGGCCGGGAGGAACCTGGCAGCCCCAGTTTATAGCATTTGCCACTAAACTCAGTCAGCCTTACCCACTTTGGGGGCTGAGACTGATGGATTTCCCAGATCACACTGGAGACCAAGGGGCATTTTCACCTAGTATTTCCATCCTTCTGCCCTTTTCCACAGTGTACACCCAAAGGCCACCCCAAACCAAAGGCCACAGAAAGCAGGCTCTGCAGTTTAATTCTGTGTGGGGCTTCAGTGGACTGTTTAGCGCTCACTCTTTTATCCCAGTTTGAATTTATTTTTGTTCTTTATGGTCATGCCAGAGGGCTTGCTGGTTCGGGTAGATGTGTTTGGACACAGACAAGCAGGCCCATTCCCTTAATTCTTAATTCCCCATGTCGCCACCTTCAGGCTGGATGATCGATGCAGAGAGTCGTCCCAAATTTCGAGAACTGATAGCAGAATTCTCCAAAATGGCTCGGGACCCCCAGCGCTATCTGGTTATACAGGTACTGTTCATTAACCATTTCCTGTTTTCTGTTTTAATCCCCCCCCCCCCCAAGGAAAGCAGAGGCTTGGGACTAGGTTAGAAAGGAACAAAAATCAGCAAGAGTGTTGTTTGTAGTACATTCTGCATCCTGAAGATACAGCTTACAAAATGGTATACAAGTTCAGGTTAGCCTTTATTAGCATAAATGGTCAATACAGATTATACGATTTAAGAGCAGATTGAAAACACACCTATTAAAAATACCATATCTCTAGATTGTACAATTTAAGAGCAGGTTAAAACACACCTATGAAAATATGTCTCCGGGGTCCTTTGGCGCAGCTTTAAAGCAGAGTGGAGAAACTTGGCCACCTTCCCAGTGATGTCAGAACAGAAATCATTTAGAAGTCTGTGTACCTTAAGTGCATCACGAAATGGTATACACAGAGGCAGCCCACCAGGTAGCTAGCCATAGGCTATTGTGTTGGGTGCCATAGGGCAAGGGGCAACCGTGGCCACATTAGCACTGCACCAGCTGCCCAGCCTCCCAGGCCCTCTGGGGTCCTTTGGCGCAGCTTTAAAGCGGAGTGGAGAAACTTGGCCACCTTCACAGTGATGTCAGAACAGAAATCATTTAGACGTCTGTGTACCTTAAATGCATCACAAAATGGTATACGCAGAGGCAGCCCACCAGGTAGCTAGCCATAGGCTGTTGTGTGGGGTGCCATAGGGCAAGGGGCAACCATGGCCACATTAGCACTGCACCAGCTGCCCGGCCTCCCAGGCAACAACTTAAGTCTTGCCCCGGCCAGCTGACCATGCAGTCGGCAGCTTAGGGTGTGCCCCAGCTGGCTTGCCAACCAGCCTGCCACCCAGCCGCAGCTTCATTTGGCCACCAGTCTGGCAGGAGAAACAGGGGATTGCATTGTGTGGCTCTGCAGAAACCCCCAAAATCTCTATAGTCTTCACCATAGAGATTTCAGGATTTCCTAGAGTTTCGCCTGGAAGTGGCATCGCTTCCTGGTTCAACACAATCCCACCCACCCCCTTTCTCTGGCCACCTCGTTGGGCAAGTGTGCCCTGAGTCACCCGGCCAGTTGGTGTCTCAGGGCACACTTGGGTTGGCCCCGCCCACCTAGGGCTCGGAAAACCTTTGCAACGCCCCTGGGTATACACAGTTATGATAAAACATTCATGTCTAAAAATGCAAGTGTATATGTCTCCACGGATCTAATCCAAAAATCTGACTAGGGATCACAAATCAGCTTTGGCTTAAATAATAGTTTAATTGGACTCTGTTGACTCTACAAGCTTGTAATAAACATGCAATAAACTTTTTGTCAGCAGTTACATCACGGGAGAAGGGAACCGTATCTCATCCTTCAGGGTTTCCTTTCTCCTTGAGTTCTACCTGTGATGCCTGCCTGACTCCCCGTTCTCCATAACTGTGAATGGCCCTGCCACTAGCAGACCCTTCACAGATCTGGGCTCGAGCAAATCGTCAAAGGGATTTCCAGAAAAACAGAAAGATATTTTTTTTTAAGTGAAACTTCCCTCGGAGGCTCAGCACATCAGGTACCTCTCCGAAGACAAAAAAAAAAATCAGCCATTCCTGATCCGAATCCACATTTAAAGCTCAAGTTTGTAGGACTTGATCTTGGAAATAATCTAAGACTACTAGCTGTGTCGTAAATGGTGCAGCTTGACCTTTGAAATCCTCGTTTTGACTTCCCTTCGGACAGGGTGACGAAAGAATGCACTTACCCAGCCCAACAGAGTCGAAAATCTACCGTTCCATAATGGACGAGGAGGACATGGAGGACATCGTGGATGCGGACGAATATCTCATTCCGCACCAGGGATTCTTCAGCAGCCCATCAAATTCCCGGACACCGCTCTTAAATTCGCTGGTACGGATTTCGTTTCCCAAAATCTTCCATAGGGAAAGTGCCCTGGGCGGGGGGGGGGGGGGGGGCGGTGTGTGGGCGGGGGGGGGGGGCTGTGTTAATCAGCTGCAACAAAAATAATAAAGAGTGGGAGAATACCGAAAGACTTTAAAAAAAAATATCGTGCCGCGCAAGCTCATGCCACTAATAAATTATAAAGATTTCACTGCACCCCAAGTGTGTAAGACCCAGTGCCCTTATGTAATCTGGTATTCTTCTATTAACACAAGAAGTAACTGAACAATTCTCCTCTTTGATATTAGAGTTCTACCAGCAATAATTCGACAATGAACACCTGCATAGATAGAAATGGGGTAAGTGTGGGCAACTGAGAAGCACAAACGAACAGCTCGGGGGATAGTTTTATTTTTAATTTTTTTGCCATTAGTATGGGGGGGTGTTAAAGCACCACTGCGCAAGCCATCTAATTTGTGTTTTGGATCAGAGTGGCTGTGGTTTGCTATCCGTAATTACATGCTGTGCAACGTTTGCTGTTTCTCTTTGCTACCAGGGCTACCCAGTGAGAGAAGACAGTTTCATCCAGAGATACAGTTCAGATCCAACTGGGGTCTACCTGGACGACAGCTTGGACAATGGCTTCTTGCCTGCTCCAGGTGAGAGGACACACACCTGTAAAAACCTGTGGACTGTTGTCCATTCTTTAACGGGCAAATCTAGTCCTAGAAGCAACACCCTCACTGACTTCACCCCTTCTCAATGTGAAGGCTCTTGGCAAAACAGCCAGGGCAGTTTTTAGCCGGGGTAATCACGTAGCTTCTTTTCCATCTGCCCTCTTCGGAATCCCTAAACGGATCCACCGTTTCCTTCTACTGGCGATCAGTAGGTATGAAGAGTGATGGACTTCTTCATCAACAGGTTAAAATGCCGTGTGCCAGCCCTCGGGGGTCAAGGCTAATGAGCGGTTGGATCCAGCCAGTTTTTCCTCTCCACCTCCCCCAGCTCCTGCCCCCTCCCCACTCTGGTCCCACATGGCTTTTTGCACGTGCTGGTCCCCTGATTCTCAGCCTAGCCTTTTTTTTTTTCCCCTCAGGGGGTGGGCAAAGGGGATTCCTCATTCTTTGCCATCAGCAGAAACTCTGGTTTCATCTCTGTCTCTGAATGCAGGCATCCTGATGTGTACAGTGTATTAGCAGAGGTATAATTAAGCCCTTCACTCTTTTAACTCTCCCTTCTCCTGCTGGTGTTGGTAGAAAGTGCCATCAGGTCGCAGCTAACGTATGGCGACCCCATACGGTTTTCAAGGCAAGAGAGGAACAGAGGCGGTTTGCCATCGCCTGCCTCTGCGTAGCAACCCTGGACTCCCTTGGGGTTTCCCCATCCAAATACCAGGGCTGACCCTACTTAGCTTCCAAGATCGGGCTAGCCTGGGCCATCCAGGTCCAGGCCCTCTCCTGCTACCAGTGTTCCTTCTAAGCTGAGTTAGTGTGAGCTAGCTCACAGTTTTTTAGCCTCCAGCTCACAGATTTTTCTCTTAGCTCAGGAAGGAGGGCTCCCGAGCAGACTAATTTCTGCAGCAGCCATATCGCTCGCTCACAGCTTTAATGCCAATAGCTCACAAAGTAGAATTTCTGCTCACAAGACTCCACAGCTTAGAAGGAACATTGCCTGCTACCTCAGTGCTCACCCTCCTAGTGGGTTTCTGGTCTCTAATTTTCCATCTGGGTACTCTGAGCTAATCGGTTTCTTTCCCAGGGACCCATAAGGGTGGTTCAGTTTTCTTGTTCAGTTTTCTAAGTCTTCCCGTGGATTGTCTGAGCTGGGTGCTCTGCTCCATCCGTCTTCCAGTTGTTTTCATGAAGTGTTTGTGTCGTTAATTCTGGAACTGGCACACGCGCTGTGTGTTGCTGCAGTTGTCTGCTGCTTCCATTCACATCCGTCTCTTTTCCCCCTTGTAGATCACTCATGCACAAGAACAAGTTTGCACAGCAAAACAAATGCTTTATTTATCCTTTGAGCGGGCACACAGTTGCATCAACATTCCTTTCAGTTAGTGGGAACGAAAAGCAGCGCTGTGCGTTCTTTTGTGATCCTGTCATGCTCAGAGGCACAGATCAAAGTCAACGGAAAGGCTCTTACCTTGCGAGGAAGATCATTTTATCTCCTTCCTCCTCCATAAGGGCTTATTAAGAAGAATGCCCATTAGGTTGACGCTACTGATTACAGATATGCCAATGACTTTTAACAGGCTTGTAAGGAGCATTGGCCAGTGCAGCAGTACAGCAGGCAACAGATGGCTGCCATTGAACAGTGACGGTGTGGGGAGGGGCCTCATGAGGTAGCCGTGGAGCTGCGGGGCAGCTGGGTCAGTGGTAGTTATTCTCCCAAAGTATCCCTCAGCCCTTCACTGATAACAGAGCCATGTTTTTATG